GCGCGAAGTCGCCATTTTACTGAACGACATGGACCCGAAAATGGCGGACAGAACGTGAAAGGTACATATTGTCTTCCCATTTTCTTTCTTCTCTTCTACTAGAGAATCGTTATACTTGCCTTCTTCGTCGGCTAATACTCCGGTTTTTCCGCAGCCGGTCATCATTATCAAGAATATCGCACAGCTGATGAGATTCATTTTTGCTAGATGTACGAGGAAGACAATATTCAAATGAACTGCCGATCGTTTCAACTGCTACTTTGATTTATATAGGATTTTTAGGTGTAAAGCACACATGAAACGTTAGATTTCGTGTGCAAAATAAATATTTGAACTTTTTGGATTATTGAACGTGATAAGGTATTTATAAATTCTGTACACTTTATTCAATAATAATACAAACTGTTCGATAGACAACTTCGCTGTTATAGACATATCGCCATCACTATACAATCGACTTGATTTCATTTAGAGATAAGAAATAAAAATGTAGAAGGTTAATACTTTTTCGTTTGTGTTTTTCTTAACCCACGTGGAACCATTACGCATAAATTAGTTAGTTCTCGTGTATTCGTCGGCTAAAGCTAGTTATTCAAGTGCCTAAAAAAATCGTTTCATTAAGTATTATTCAGAATACACATAGCTCAATTTTATCAATTTTTTATCTATGAAAAATACGGTTGTTTTTCATATTTTATCTTTTTCAGCTGAAACACGTGGAATTTTCTGAATGTCTTCTCCACCACCTGCACTCGACTTTATGGCATTTCGTCGAAGATTTTTCGTTATCAATTTTTCGTTATCAATTATCGTTTAATTCACTGGTTGTTACAGCATTGAGTCGATTGCGTGAATTACACCGTTGGTCGCTGGAATATTGTGAGTCAACACTTGAGCTTCATTCACCTTAACGCGACCTGAAACGAGAATAAATCGGCATGAGACACTATTAACTAGAATAAAAACAATAAAACAGGAAAATCCCAGGATAAAATGAAAATAAAACCGAACAACTTCGCATATTGAATTTTTTTCTAAGAATGTCTTCATAAATTTCATTATTAATTGTTTTTTCATATAAATAAATAAAATGTACCGATTTCACTGATTTTTCATACAATTCCAAATTCAAGAAGATGAATACTCCAAATCCATTCATAAAACCGCGAAAGCTTTCAAAATATTCACCAGAAATAAATGTTAACTCAATATTTTGTTTCTCAGTTACAACAATAATTCCGATTCCATGGGAAATAAAACAATCGGTACAATTTTCCAGCTAATGGCTTCTTTCAAAGGTATTAATAATGACATGATGGGATGTCTGTTATTACTCGAGAAATGTTCTTTGAACTGGGTAAATTGCGGCAATCATTATCCGATCGATTAATTGCCCGTTGGAAATATTAATGATTTCGTTGGAGGAGGAAAAAGAAATCTTTCATTTCAATGTCAGACTCTTGGACGGAACATTCACTTGTGCTTTTATGATAAAGTCTTACGAATGGGGGGCGGAGATCATTTGAGGTTTCACTGGAATTTAACGAGCAATTGTTTGCGAATTATTGCACTCTGGCCTCTGTCGGTGGTTGATAATTTCAGGGGTAAAATTGTAGATTACGGACATTTAATTGTTGTGGGGTCATTAGCATTGCTTCAGGGGGTTAATATGATGGCAATGTGTTATGTCAGCTGTGAGAATTTTGTGGCTGCGGCTGAGAGCATCGGACCAATGGTTCGTAATTGAAAACAATAATTGAAGTTCCTTAAAAAGCCGATCTTCTACACCCAATATCTCACGAACCACTAGAGATACGAGAAAAAGTGACTAGAATTTTCAAGTGCAGAATTGAATTCCCTCGAAAAAGTTCTTCTGACTTTTCCCCTGAAAATCACTCATTAACGGTATAAACCCGCAGATACGATCATTTATATTCATAAAAACATCTAAAAGTTGGTGACGCAATCATCAACTTCGAGGCTAATTATCTCGTGAAGTAATTAGCCCAGAAAAAAATGTCACAAGAACTTTAACGAGCCGGATTTCTTCCTCTTCAAAAAGTCCCCATAACTTTAGTCTCTCACATCACTTGTTAATGAGATAATTTCCAAGCAAGATAAATACTCGCGGGATGAGCACCAGAATAACTTCCACTTGGTCTTCATCACCTAAATTTTCAGATGTCGTTGTTCATAGCCTTTGGGAAGATCTGCATCTACAGATACAACAAATCCTCCCTGAGGAATTTATCAAAAAAACTGGAGGTCTGCCTGAACAATCGAAATAGTCAAGAATACAATTATCTTCGGATGTACATGAAATACGGAAATATCGCGTCAGCATCTGTTTTCGGTTCGATATTCATTCTAATCACTGGATACTTCAGTATTCCATTGATATTGACAACTCATGAGCTTCCCTTTATCGCTTATTACCCCTGGAACTGGCGTAATTCAACTCTTGGATATGCGGCATCTTATTCTCATCAAGTGATTTTAACTTCTGTCCTCTCCTGTGCGTGTTCCACAGAATTCACTTATGTCTGGTACATTAGCCACTGCTGTGCAAGACTCAAAGTTGTCCAGGATAAATTGAAGAGACTATCCACTGGAAACCGCACGAAAAAATGTGGGAAGGATGTGCAGAGAATCCTCTCAGGAATCACTCGTCTTCATGCCGATGTTCTCGAGTAAATCTCCCATTATCAATTACTCCATTAATTTTCTCAAAACTCCACAGAAAATACTGCAGCAATTCTTGCAAGTGATATTGACTCAGCTTCAACGGAAAATGGACACGGAAATTCAAATTTTCGATTGAATCCCAGGGACTGCGGATTCGCACGCTTCGCCTCATCGCATTTTCAAGGAATATCTCTGAATCTAACAGAAATAGCGAAATTTTTATAGGAACCTTTTTTATAGAGTGGAGTTACACCTAGAGAAAAGGTTCTCATAAAAATTTTGGGGTCTCTCTTAGATTCGGAGATATCCCACGAAAACGTACCGATCCGCCAAATTGAGTTTAACATTTTATCTCTGCGCGACTAATTTGTTATATAATTATTTTAAATAAATAAAAAATTGCAGTGACGTCATTCTGATAAACACAGCCTTCACTTATATCGTTCTGCTGTTGTTCCTGGCAGCCGTCATTGCCATTTGCTGTGCTGGATTGACCATAACTAGTGTGAGTAAACGATAAATTCAGTCTCTCCCAATCGTACATCAATAATTTTCATTATTTTTTAACAGAAAACAACCGAATCAACAATTATACTTCTTTTCCTCGTCCTCGCTGTTTATTATGCCCAGCAGTTGCTGTTTTATTATCTTCCTGGGGATCTGCTTGCACGAGAAGTAAATTCCAGGCATCTCAATTAATTTAATCATTAATTCTTCAATTACCATTTGATATTAAAAAATATTGAAATTCCTTCAAGCTATTTTCATGTCTCCAGCAATATTAAATCGTAATCGTAATTAATTAAATTGTACTATTACTAATTTTGTGGTCATTGATGAAATAATGAAATTAAATAATGAAATTATTTTTATGGCATGTGCTATTTAATTAATTATTTTTGCAATAGGTTGAGCTGTTGATTTTTATTGTTTTATAGATTGATTGAAAATCTATTGTTGATAGGCATTAGCTGTGGGGAAGGCGGCGTATTCTAGTGGTTGGGAGATTTTCGATGTTGAATGTAAAAAAACAATTGGACTCATTTTATTCAGGAGTAATTCACCGCCTCGACTGCTAGCTGGGGACTTGAGCCCTTTGTTACTGGAGAATTACATGTCCGTGAGTCTTTGAAATATAGAAAGTGATGGAGAGATATAATATATTTATTTTCACAGTTTCTGGCAACAACTGCATCTTATTTCACCTCGATTCGAGCAGTGACTGATAAAAATTAATGGAAACCAAACAAGACTTGCTTTTGATATTTTTGAATTTGTGAGGGATTGGGAATCGAATATAGTGAATGATATTTAATTATTGTATCTTCAACAGTAAATGAGGATTAGATTTTCAATTAATTATCGTATTATTTCAGCGATGAAGACAGATGAGTCGATGTCAAACTGAAATTTTTTATTTACCAAAAACAGAATAAATCCAATAAATAAAACCCACTGAGAAAATAAATTTCTCTTGCCAAGAATATTTTCTGAGCATTCCCGTAACGTTTAGTAATGGCAAATATTTTCTTGTGGTTAATAAATATTCTTCTGCAAAGAAATGTATTTTCTCATTGCAGAATCCATCGAAGAACCGAATGACGAGAGGTTTTTGGGTCGTGTTCCCCGAATGAATCTCGAAAGGATAACTTTCGTCGAAATTCTCAGCCATCAGCTGTTCCTCTCACATTTCACCGAATTTTTTTCGAAAGTTTTGGATTAATTAATTCATTATGAATCGATTACTGACCTCCATTTTTCTGGATTCTCAATGTAAACTGCGGCCTGAGTGTGTCCTTTTGGTGGTAGAATCTCATACCAGCTGTGTACATCGTCGTTGGTATAATGTGTCGTGAAATTATATTTTTAGCTAATTCCGGACCATCTCCGTCGGTCCAAACTCCTCGTCCCGAGTTCGACGCGGCGGCTGCAAACGCCGAATCCGTTGGGGCAAATACTGTAAATGTCTTGGTCCCTAAATCAAATTAAAAAAAAAAAAACAATAACAATTATATCATGCCGCAATTTTCAATTTGTATTTAACTAATTCAATTTGCTAATAATAATAACAATAACAACAACAATAATACTAATAATAATAATATAATGATAATTTTGTTATTTTAATTTTTTATTCAATCTATTTTTTATTTTTTATTTTTGATTTTATTTGGAATAGAATTCGTAATTAAAATAGTCAAGAAGTATTTAATTGTTTTGTTAATTGTTATTGTTAAAAATAGTAATGATTGTTTAAGTTGAAATTAAACAGTGAAATAGTGCTCTATTCATGCTGCAGTTTAAAAAAAGGATAAAAGGAATAAATAATTCTCGCATCCTTTCTCACGACTTAATCTGCCGTTTTATATAAGATGAATACACAGTAGGCACATATAATATCCCGGAAAGCCCACCTGAATGGAATTCCGCCCTCGTGTCACGTCAATTTCCTAGATTAAAATGAAATCCCAGGGAATTCACTCAAACGCTCTGGATTAAGCCAATGAAAAATGTACACTATTGTAATCCATTTTAGTGGATCTTTAAAATATTTCAACTGTTCCACTTTCACTCTGATGCTCATCAGTCGTTAAAATACGTTTTATAACACAATTTAATGGTTTTTTTTTTCAACGTTATTATTAGATTGCCACAGATTCTGCAATTAGGATTTGTTGCTCCACTTGTTAACAGAACTCTGTAATTTAATTCCATGGGATTACCAGTTTTAGAGGTAATAGGGACAGAGATAACGTCTCAATTTATTTCATTCGTTTTATTTTAGTCTTCTGGGAATATATTGAGAGGCGTAATTGGATTCGAGAGTTACCCCATGTTATCCGCCATTTTGAAGCCGAGAGAGGCGACCGACAAAATGGCGGACAACATCGGATCACTGCTCACACCTGCCATCTCGCTACAAAAATCTAATTTAATTCAAATCTTAAGAATTGAAAAGATCTCCTATTTTTCCTGCCATTAAAATTTTTCTTCATCGAGCAAACGTCAAGAATCGATTGTTAAAAATCGATACTCGATTTTCCAACTCCATTTTGACCGATCGACATTTTCTCGTCGAGATTCGAAATTCTCCATTATTTCAATTTCAAATTTCAATTGTCAGGAATTTCTAATTTTGTGATTCGAGTTGAAATCGATTATTTCTTTCGACCTTCACGCGGGTCAAATCGGGAAACCATGGAAAGCCCTAGCCAACGCGTGAGGCGCATCGACCGAGACCCACCGCGTTAAACATTCCGTGTATTAAATTATTTAAACAATTGAATTACCAGCAAGGGTATCCTCAAGACCGGATGCATGTAGTATTCTCAAGAAAGTACCAAATCTCTGTTCCCGATCGGCAGCAAGGGTCTGCGTTAAATCACCAACAGGAAGTGGAAACATAACACGGTCTACTGCATGGGCAATTCCCTGTGGTATCTCTATGTCACGTTTGTTGGGCGCTACTCTTGCCCCATTTATCGTTGTCACCTGCACGTCAATTGATAAAAAAATGAGGAAATGAAAAAATAATTAAGCACTAATTAAATCCATTTCCACGTCGATTCCTCCCCAGCAATTCTTTTTACCAACAATTACTCTCATTGCGTCGTTACCTTAACGTCATTCCACTCCTGATCATGCATATCATAAACATTAACTCTCAGTTGAGTTCCGGCCAGCGAAACACCTGTCATTTCGTCCTGCAATGAGTCGATTCTAAACGCACCTGGAATTACGTGGTGCAGTAACAGCTGAAAACAATTAATTTATCATATGTTTGATTTTTTCGTGTTAATGATTTTTGAGCCGCGGATTTTTCTGGCTATTTGATGGTACACTTACACCACTCAGGAGTCGAGGATTTTCCTTAAATTTCTGCTCAGCCTTTTCAGGGCCTCCGAGCTGCACCAGGAGTGTCCTGAAGGCCTTGTCCGTCGGCACAAATATCGTATAAGGACCTAAAAAAATTCAAACAAATGACAAATTTAAAAAGAAAATTAAAAAAAAAATACATTTTTCTCTAAAAGTTAATTATCCAATCGATGGGTTCATCCCGGGAAATATTGACGTTTATTTAAATTATTATGACATGTTCATTAAATTAATTAATTAAATTAAATTTATACTGAAAAGACGTTTATTTCTCTCAGGGCAATTCAAAATTGAGATGGACATGTGCGATGGTATTTCGTATAAGAACCTAAAAAAATTCAAACAAATGACAAATTTAAAAAGAAAATTTAAAAAAAAATACATTTTTCTCTAAAAGTTAATTATCCAATCGATGGGTTTATCCCGGGAAATATTGACGTTTATTTAAATTATTATGACATGTTCATCAAATTAATTAATTTAATTAAATTTATACTGAAAAGACGTTTATTTCTCTCAGGGCAATTCAAAATTGAGATGGACATGTGCGATGGTATTTCGTATAAGGACCTAAAAAAATTCAAACAAATGACAAATTTAAAAAGAAAATTTAAAAAAAAATACATTTTTCTCTAAAAGTTAATTATCCAATCGATGGGTTTATCCCGGGAAATATTGACGTTTATTTAAATTATTATGACATGTTCATCAAATTAATTAATTTAATTAAATTTATACTGAAAAGATGTTTATTTCTCTCAGGGTAATTCAAAATTGAGATGGACATGTCCGATGGTATTTCGTATGCCTCTCGCATTTTCCCATCTTGCAAAAAAAAAAAGAGCGGCTGAATGAGAAATTGAACGAAATTTCGCAATGGAGGGGTAAAAAATATGAGAGAGCGCGTGAGAACGCGATTGGACGCGTTGCAATGTGAGTTAATGAGGATTCCAAGTGTCTTCCTTATTGAGATCCAACATACGAAGACTTATTACTCACTCATGTGGTGGATCGTACTTTCGTTACGCTCTAATCGCGAATTCATTCTCTCTTTTTTTTTTATTAATTACGGGTGATTCGTTCCACTTCATCGGGGGGATAATTACTGGGGGCATAAAATGTTTATTGAACCCATCAGTGTCCAGTCATTGGGCAATTGTGGTTTAGTATCTTTTTTCTTTATTTATCTCACACGGAAACGATTATTTTCAGATGAACAGAGACACTGGAGCTGGGGAAAGGAAATTTTCATTGATGATTTCGGAGGCATGAGAGGATTAAGTCGATTTATAGAGCGGAGAAAATGTTAAATTACACGTGTTAAAATACAGATTACAGTTGGAGAGTAATTTCACAAGTTTTTAGAGTGGATTCGCTGTTTTTACATTTTTCCTTCCTAAATAGTTCTATTAAAAAAAAAACCCGGAAAATATTCACGTTTTTTCATTCATTTATTGCAAAAATAGATAAATATAAATAAATGTATTGCTCATGAATTTCCATGAAGATAAAACTCTAGAATCGAATAATCCAGAAATTGTTTCTTAATTTATTCGTTTGATGATTGTCTAGAGATAAATGACTTCCAGGGAAAGGCGTGGAAGATAAAAATTTAATATAGTACTCACCAGTTTCATTGAGTACAGTATCGAGTCCGGATTGCCTGAGATATTTAGCCATTGCGAATAATCCCTCCCTCCTCAACAAATTGGCGATAGTCTCGAGGGGTTGAGCATCCCCAGGAGTGGTTGCCTCGAAGGAGGCACCGGAATTTCCACCCAAGTCATTGAATATGAGATTTTCACTTGCTCCAGCGCTATTCAAACTCGTGGCTTCGGTGCTTGAGATGCCTCTGGGAATCGGTGAAACTGTGGAACTAGCGAAGTGAACGTACGACGAGGATTGAGGTCCATACGAGGTCGTGAATACCGGCGGATGTGTCGTACTTATGATTTCACTAACTGGCGCCATTGTTGGTATGAAGTGACTCCTGGGTGGGTGAATTGTCGTTGAGATTGATCTGTACGCGGTGGATGGAGATCTAGCTGTTGTTGGATTGAATGTCGAGATGGAGTTGAAGATATTCGCAGACTGAGTTGATGCTGAGGTGACGTAATTATCCAATTGGGACACCGACTTCGGGGTTACAGTCACGCGAGGGGAGTAATCGGCCGATAAATCACTGGAACTAAAAAAAATAATAACAATTCTCTTCAGCTGTCATATTATTTGTTGACTATTTGATGTAACATATTGTAACCCACCTGTCCCTGATCTTAGCAGAGCTGGGTAATCCGGTGTACTTGATGGTGGTTGCCTTCTCCTCCTTGGTGACACCCTTGGTCGTCCCCTTCGGCTCCCTCGGGCTCTTCGAGCTCGGTGGCAACTTGATCTCCCCTTTCTTAATCTTCTCGACGATGCTCTCAACGTCAACACCACCGTCCTCCTTGGAATTCCCCTTGACCCCTTGAACCTTGAAAGTTCCATCGGACTGTTCTTCGAGAACGACGAACGTCACCTTCTTGCCAGCTCCCTGAATCGTCGATCTTGCGACATCCTCGAGCTTTCCATCATCCTTGTGCCTCAACACCTCGAAGTCAGCACCTGGTGGTAGAACCCCCTTTGTTAGCTCTTCTAGGACCGTCTTGGCAGGCTTGACAGTCGTCGTCGAGCTGGCATTCAAATCCAAAGCTTGTGTCACAGTTTGAAATTGACTCGATCCCTCATTCGGTACAATAGAGGACAGCCCATTCGGTGCCTGAATAATCTGCAGTTTCCGTCCATTCGGCAGCACCAGGTCCCGGGTTGTCACGTTCTTCTCGTCGTCGCTGTTCTCGGCGAGGGCTAGCTTCAGCTGGCGCAGCAGCTGATCCTTCTCGGAAGTCTTTGACTTTGAGGGACGCGTCGCTGGTTTCTCAGTTTGATAGATTATCTTAATCTGGGGCTTGTTCTTGCCGGTGGCTATCAGCTGGGGATTCTGTGCCTGAATCAGCTGGAGAAGGTCTTTCGGGATGTCCTGGGGCTCCTCAAGCTTCGGCTCTTGCGGTTTGGGCGATGTCAGTGGTGTGAGTGATGCTGTCAGCGGCTTCGCTGTCGTTGTGAATTTCTTCTGGTGAGTGGCTATTGCTTTCAGGAAGAGCTCGGATTCCGCTGGAGTGATTCGTCTGGACGTTGGCGAAGACAACAGCAACGATGAAGCACTCGTTGTCGCTGGTGTTGTACTCGTTGTTGTCGAGGTCAGGGCTTTTAGCTGTTGCTGTCGCAGAAGCTCCTGTTGTCTTCTCAGCTCGTTCTGCTCGAGGATCAGTTGCTCTCGCTGCTTCCGGAGGAGATCTAGCTCCCGTTGTTTCTCGTAGTAGCTCTGCAGGCTGATGGAGGAGGCGTCGTTGTAGTACGTCGACGGGAGATCCGTTGCGCTTGGAAAATTCGGGAACAGGGAAGAGGAAAACTGGGGAATTGAGTATTGAGCTGTTTGGGGAAATGGACGCTCTGTTGATGATTTTGTTCGGTCGACTCGGTATTTCGCCAGGGAGGGGTACAACCCTGCGTCGGATTTTGATGCTAGCTGGGGCTGGGGAAATGTTACGTGGGAATTACCAGGAAAATTGTATCGCAGCTGGTGCTGTTGGACGTCCGTCAGGATCTGCTGCTGTTGCGTCGACGAGAGTCGCACTCGCGGGTCAGGGGTTTGACGCACCGGAAACTGCAACAGAATATAATTTCACTTAATGAAATTTAAAAAAATCAAGGTCATATTAAATTAGTCGTAACTTCAATGAACAAAAATAATAAATTCATTGTAATGAAGAAGTTTTTAATTGAAATTTGATTGTGATATTTTTCATGGATTAAAATGCATTGATAATATTGATATAAAATTACTAGTAATTATTATTAATTAATTGGATTACTGAATTATTTTATTAATGCAATCATTTGTTATTGGCTGGATTGAAATAGTTTTTTGTTCCTCATTGGTAATTGAAACGCGGAATTATTGTGAAATGAAATTTAATAAATTATTATAAAAATGATGATTCATGCCGAACCTCGGAGGAGAATGTGTTTTAATTTTACGGATTTCACAAGTCCTTTTGAAACTCATCTCAGACACTCGGGATTGGGTTAGACTTTCTACGTGTCGGCATTGCGTGTCTGTTCATTCCTCCCACAATTCACACTGTGCGACGTAAATGGATAGGCTAAATAACAAATTCAATTCAACGGAAATTACTGGAGCAATTGAATCTCATTGATTTACGGGGGAAGGAATTTCCCACGCCCTTGACGCCGACAAAACCGTAGGAAGTGAATTGCTATTTTAAGTATTGCGAACGGATTGATTTATTTCACAATTTTCAATTGACTCGGGGAATTGATAAAACGCATCGTCGATTTAATTCTTGAATGGAGATAATTATAATTGGGTCGTGATTTTTTTTTCGATTATTCTCAAAAAAATAAAACAATTACTTCAATATTATTCATAATAATTAATGAAACATTGATATTTTAATGAGCCTTGATATCACAATAATTGAAAATTTAAAGATTGAAGGGTCTTGGGTGAAATATTGTATAAAAAATTTCAATTATAATTAATTTTCCTTTTTTTATTTTTAAAACATTTTTCCTGTGAATTTTCCAAGTGCCCCTCCCACCCGCAAGCGTTTCAGAAAAAATTTTTATAATCGAAATTCCGTGATAATTGAATAAAATTATTTTTTCAAAATCACAATGTGTAAATAAAATGGACAATTTCCAGGTATTGAATTCCTTGGAATTCCATGTGAATAAATGAGAACATGAGAATAATTTCCGGGAAATCTAGGAAATTTCTGTAAGAGATTGGCATGACGGTGGGATAGAGTGAAATAATTTTGGGGGGTAAATAAACCGGTGTGTATGTATTATTTACTCTCAGCAACAATTTCACCGGGTGACCTGGGGGTCACCTTGAACCATTATTCTCAGGAGCAGTTGGAGATTTCACTCTTCACAGCGGCATGGATGGATTTTCTGGCATGCATTATTGTACCTTTCATTGCGAAAGATTGCGAGTAATTTCCGGGAGGATAAAAGTCCGAGAAAGCAGTTATTATTTTATTTACCTGGATAATTTCGTAGGTGCATCAGGAGACACCCAACACCTCACACGAATCAAAAAATATTCCTCTGACCGATTTAACGAGTTTATTTAAAACCCAATGTTTATAACTATTTTCGGTTAATTGTGGGACTTGAAGAAATAATTTTTATCGAGTTATTTGAACCCGGAAAAAGTCTTGAATCGTTATCTCAGATTGCCCACTCGTCCCCTTTCTCATCTCCAGGACAAATCGTCCTCACACCTGTCGACTTTCGTCCCAACTTTCCCCGGTCGAAAAATTCCTCGATAATTACTCAATTTTCATCAATTCCCAACGGCAATTAGGGCTGCTCGCGATAAATCAATGGAATCAACGGTGAGAGATTCAAATAACAGTAGTTTCCCGCGCACAATGAAAAAAAAAAATACAAAACTGTCCGATAAAAATACTTCCGGTCTGCGAATTATGTAAAGTACATTTATTTATGAAGCTATTCCGATTGAATGTGCGGTGGGATAAATATTTCATCCGCCCGAGGCACAACAACTTTTCCTTTTCGTTTTTTTTTTATTTGGTTATGGCGCTAGTGAAAGGATGACCGTTCGGGGATTCCCCTCACTTCGTAATTCCTGTTGTGGTCATCTCACTGACCAATACTGGAATTATTTCGACTGGAGAATGGGATGAGAATAATATAATGCACTCGTGTTACTTTCTTTCGTCGATGTGTTAAGCTGTTGAGTGATTGATCAGATTTTTTCTTTCGAAAGTTTTTTCGAGTTTGAAAGTTGAAGAGGTTATTGTTTGAGGACACCTTAACATACTCTTGATTTTATCGGTTTTAGTTTGTTCAGCGATGACTAAACAATAAATTATAATCAACATTTACATATCATTTACAAATCCGTTAATATTTACAATTTTATATCAATTTTGTCAATTTTTTCGATTTTTCCAAATTTCTACAGTAAAAAAAGAAAAAAAAATTGCCTCCCCTCTTTCGTATAATTCAAACAAACATTGAATTAACTATTAACAATTGATATTAAACAGTGATTAAAGATTAAATCCTCGATTACAAAATTTTTTAATACCGAAATTTCATTGGAAATTTAAAACGACGAAAATTTTCAACTTCACTGGAAATTTTTTGTTAGTGCAAAAAAACCGATGGGCATAAATTTATTTGTTGTTCACAGGGTCTCAACCGACGAATAAACAATTCCATTGAATTGTTTATTCGTCATTCATAGTTCAATGCGGAAGAATAAACAAAAACGGAATTTCCGCGGAAGGGAGCCATCACCGTCACACGGTTTTCCCATTTTCTACGAACATTGTTTAAAAAAAAACAAGACAATAATGGAGAATAAAACTAGAACGTGGATGAAGAAGAAAAATGTAAAAACACTAGACGAATTTTCTCACACGATAGATTAGCCCCAGATTGTGCGAGAGTGAAAGGCAATTCGCATATACTCTCAATGTTTTAATCGTTATGTCAACTATCCAATTGAATTTTATTTTTAATAACCGTGAGAATCTCCACTTCCTTTCATCAGTTTTTCGTAAACTTTCATTTTTATCCCTCCAATCGCTTTTGCCTAAAAATTTCACTACAATTTTTCGTTTCTTTTATTTTTCCCGCAATTCGACGATTATCTGATAAAAAATTACATACACTGTATTTATTTACTCCAGCTAATTCACTCTTGAATTCTCGCAAGAAAATAGATATAAATATTTGCATTTGAATTCTTCGATTTTCTTGCAGTTTCGAAATTTATTTCTTTACTGTAATTATTATTCTCTGAAGGTGAACGGTTTTGCCCTCAGACTCGAGCGAGACGATCGTAAAGATGATTGGATTATTTATTTTTAATTGAAACCTATTGAAAACTCAGGCTTATTACGGATAATTTTATTTATGACTAAAAAGGTCTTCCAATATTCCCATAAATATTCATAATTTTCCATATTATCGATATTCAATAAAATTTTAAAATCTAATTCCAACTTTCCACGGATCTCCCCCAAAATTATAAACTCAATAAACAATTATGACTTATAAATTTTCAATAGAAGAAAAATTCAATAAAAACGTTTAATTTGTTGATGCAAAATCACGTGAAATTGACTAAAAATAACCAATTGTTTAACAACAACAATGAATTATTCATAATTACCAATCAAATGGAATTTTAATGAAAATAATTTTGTGGGGTTTTAATGAAAATTATAATTTAATTGTTTAAGATATTGAGAATTGTTGAGAATGTTAATTAATTTTCCTAGTTAATCATGCAAGATCATTTGAGATGATCGGCTGAAAGTGAAAATCCTCGTTTTTCCGTCTCTCACTTTTTTCTCGAGTTTTTCGCGTCTCGTGTGACCTCGTGAGATTTCTCTCCAACAAGTACAGAGACTCTACTTCCGGTCTTCCTCATGGAGTACTACACACGTACCACGTTGATTACACAGAACGACTGCACTTGTCGGTGAAAATAATTATCCGGTCAAAACGACTAGTTTTTTTTATTTGTCCATCAGGATTATTTATTCATCCGTTTAAGCTGCATAAAACTACTTTTAATGGAGTTAAACATTTATATTTATTATATTTATTGCACCTCAATGGTTATCACTGTTATGTTTATTGATAGTGTTATCAACATTGTTAATAATTATAGTATTATTATTTATTATGGGCTCGTTACTCCAGACACTTTAAATCTAGTAAAAACAATAATGTTTATGGAAACATATGTGATGGCTTCCGCTGTAATTGCCAGTCTTGAGATTGTTAAATTATTTGTTATGTAAATGAATTATTGTATCTGTTAATAAAAGCCTTCATAAAAATTTCATTGTGTGAACATTCACTAGGAATATCCACATGTTTTCTCCAGTCATTTAATATTTTTTTTTTTTGGGGGGACAGAATAAATTTAACGACAAATTTTCTCTGGAAAATTCATTTCGACTTAAATAATTTCCCAAAATTATTAAAATGCTTTCTCCGGTCGTTCTAGATTTTCTGGGACATGGGAATAAATTGGAATCCAAAGGTTTCTCGTTGTGGATCCAAAAATTAATTAATCGATGATGCAATGCTAATAAATGGATAATTAAAAAATTTTCGTAAAGTATTGGGGGAATAAATCTGGAAGAAGAAAGTTATCTATAAATCTAATAAGTGTCATCAATTACGCTGTCCACAGGTGCACAAATGTTTTCACTTGAAGTTTAAACTCTCTAATTCTCGTAATCATCTTATCCGAGTAGAAGAAATTCAACGAGTCTCAAGTTCATCCTCACATTGCAGTGACAATTATCCTTACCGAGGTAATAACACTTCCTGAGACCTTCGCCATTCACTCTTGACTATTTAAACAACAATTTCAACAATATCTGGATGAAATGAATTTTCACCAATCGAAATATATTTTCTACTGGCAATATTTTTCGCTGGCGCTGTTAAATACGCGAACCGTGAAATTTAAGTAATTTTTACGAGTACTTGACAAATAATTCAGTCTTCTTTATCTCTAGTTTAACAAAGGAGAAAACTTTCCAACTTTCCTAACGTCGGGAGAAAAATCCTTGTGTATTCACCAGTGGCGGGTGATAAATAGAATTTCAAGTATTTTTTTTATTGGATATTTTTTTCTTTCAAATTTTCAACAATTTTTTTCTTCAAATTCGCGGAATTTGCCAACATGTTATTTTCATGATTTTCCTCGATGAACGGAACACGAAACTCCAAAGGTAAATTGGTAAATTAAAAATAAGGATAAGTGGAAACTATCGGGGGGTCTCAACCTTTCGCCTTTGATTTCGTAATTACCGGTCAAAAAGCGGAAATCTCGTGTTCCTGGGAGTCATGGAATTATCTCTCTTTGAATCTTCATTACTCTTTCGATCTGTCCTGTTTTCTCAATTTTCTCTTTAAATATTTTACTATTCGATTCGTCACTCCGATATTTTAAGAATTCGGAGAATTACTGTCAAATAATTATTTTTATTTTAATTGTGGAATTTTAAAGGAAAATACAGAATGTAATTACGAATTCCACAAAATCCCCGGGAATTCTCTCCGGAATTTGAAGAATTCCAGAATTGAAAATTCCAGACTTTTTTTAATAATTTCTTCTGCTGCTAAATTCTTCGAAGTGAAAAATAATTTTTTTCCTGATTCATTTGAATAATTCGTACAGATTAAAGTGATTTTTATAATAAAAAATATAAACATTCATACAATTGTTATTAATTAGGGCTTAGAGATGAGTGATGAGTGACTTCCCCTGTTATCCTCGGGTTTTCTAAACTAGGAAGTACGTGATAATGAAGTTAATTAAATTATTTCGGTAATTGAGTTGCAGAGGAATTTTATAAACTATTTAAATCCATGGCTTGCAACAGAAGGGAATAATTTCACGTAACTAGTTAATGGTTTTGGTGGGGAGTTGGGGGATTTGGGTACGGCTGTAATGAGCGCTAATTTTCAACAATTACCTGGCTATATGGAGCAAAGATAGCGCCTTCGGTTTTATTACGAAAACAATTGTCTATTTTAGATAATTTGTTGTAGCGCAACTGCTCACGTTTGCCGTCGCTTTATTACGATTAATTCTTTAATTGTTAATTATCCTCATTAACTATTTCGTCATTTAAATAATTATCACGTCAAGAATTTTTATCTACCATTTTACCATAAACAATTTCAACGAAATTTCACGATTTTCAGAATAATTCTGTTTTATTTAATAAAAAATATTAATTAGTTAATTAATAAACAATCGATCAAAATAAATATTTCACATTAAATCGGATTTTATTGAACACAAAAATTGTGGATTAAATGTGAATTTTAATGAGAGTGTTAATTATTATTTATAATTGTTATTAATTATTCATTGATAATTACATTTGTTTATTATTATTATTGTTGATTTTAAGGGGTGTGGAATTTTTTATGAAAAAATTGTTATTGCGGGGGAAAATTTGAGTTTTTATGGCGCGAGATTCGGTTGAAGTTTTTTTTTCGGTTTTTTTTTTAAATATAAAAAAAAAAATTTTTAATGCAGTGGACATACGATCGTCTTAACCACGGGACGTCGGTCATTGCGGCCTGAACATGAAAGTGGAACCGAGTCATACATTCACCCACTGACAGACTGACTTCTGACCCACTACATCATTTGTAACAATTTTTTTAAATAAATTTTCCGTAACTAATGGAAATGCGATTGAGGGTAACTGCACGCTCGGTGTAATTTTTCAAAGTACGTGATGTACATTTGCTGGGACAATTGGAATTTCATGGATACTCACTGGGTAATTGTTTAAATAAATTCTAGGACTGCGAAAAAATTGTAATTGACTGCCGTAAAAAATCGTGGGTCATTTTTACTCCAATTACGAAATTCTGTTGTTGAATTTCTGTTAATTTCGCTGTAACAATTATTTGTTGCTGTGTAAATTTATTTTTTCAACAGTTTTTATTTTTTTATGTCGATTCATCATTTATCTTCCATTTTTCAGTTCAAACTCCCATTTCGCCCGCGAAAAATTAATTATCAATTAATTAAAACATAAATTCAAATCTTGCGTCTCCATTTTTCACTTCAAATTCAATTCTTAAATATTTGGGCCTTATTTCCTGGTGGGACCCGAAGAATTACTTGTCCAATTTATCATTCCACCGCGAATTACAAAAATCCTCCACAAAATTATCAATAAAATCTCAATTTTTAAATGACGAAAAAAAATAAAAAAAACTCACTCCTGAGAAATTAGTCAAGTCACTTCCTGGGAGAATCTCGGGATCAGCCCCAGGGTGGGCCAGAGCAATCCCCATAAATCCCCACACCATAAACACCATCGCACGACCCATTCTGCCCCGCACTGTTCACAAAAACTCGCGAAATCCCCAGAAAATAGGAAAAAAAAAAGAAAAAAAAAAGGGGAAGACAATAAAAATCCGAAGACCTCAAATTTTTTATCTTATCGAGGATATTATTTTCCTGATGCCTCTCTTTCTTATTCTCCCTGTAGTTGACGTACGCTTGAGAATCGACTGGAGACTGCGTTGAATCGTAAAAGGTGCGAGAGTTTTGCTCAGATGGAGAAGCCCCAGGTGGGAGATCACCGGACGATTTGAAATGTCCGAGTTCGGTGAACGTTCGAAGGTTCACCATCACTTTTTCACATTTTTCTTTCATCCTTCAAATGATAAATAGCCACTGCAATTTTTCCATTAAACATCAGCCATTTTTCTTCCCTGAATAATCACTCACCCACTAGAAAATAATTTTTTCCACAAAGAACCGATAAATTCCCCCACAAAATAATTACATTCCCATGTTTAATAATTAATTATGATTTTCCATAATTAATGCACAAACACCTGTTAATAAAAACAAGAGTAATGACGTCAATTAAAATTATTAATGACAAATAATTCACATGTTGTTTAATGTAAATTATCCTATATATTTTTTAATTAATTAATTTTGTTATATTGTTTTTTAATTTACATATGTACTGGTGCTATGTAAATGGCCTCGCGAGAAGTGAATAAATTCGTGAGAATATTTTTGCGGTGACACCAAGTCGTCCTAAAAATTGCAAAATTATGAAAAACCGCGACAATAAAATTGCTCTATATACCACTGACGGTGAAATAATTGGAAAGTGCCAATTTTCCTTGCATTCATCACATGCACAGGATTATATTCCGTTGATTGCTTTTGCAACATCAAACTCGCCCACAAAATTGTCCTGTAATTATATTCATCTCATTGCCTTGACGGAAATCATTCCTTTTCTTTCCCTTGACGAATTTTAAACTCAAGTGAGAAGTGGAAAAATAATATCCAGGGAATAGTACGTGTTTGTTCTGCTAATCTGGAGAGAATAAAAAAACATTTGTGATTTTTTTTTTTAATCAGGGAGGCCTTAATTTCCTGACAGTTGCCACTGACAATGCGGGTAAATGAAAGAGAGAGGGAGAGGGATAATTAATGGTCTTGTAATCATACATTACTGGGGAAAATACATAGTAGACACCTCTGGAGACTTCAATGCATGTGAAACGAAAGTCAAAGGCCTCGCATTTTCACTGCTATTGTTGTAAATTTTTTTTATTCAATCGAGTCTCAATTTATTCATTTGCATTTAATTTGTACTTTGATACTTAAAGTATTTTAAAGGCTTTCAATTTTTGTAGTAAATAAAATCGTATAGAATTTTCAGAGAATTCTTCACGGAATTCATTGAATGAATGTAATGATTAATTAATTAACTGAATTTATGGAATATTCAGAGTAATTCAATTGAAAAACCAGAGAAAATTGAATTTTTAACAGAAAGCAAGTGAATTAATACGGATTTCTCCAATTATTTATTTATTTCAATCCCTTCATTAAATTGAAAAACCCCGAATTCCCTGGAATTTCCCTAAAATTCTTAAATAACAAATTAATTAATGATATATTCCAAAGTTTTTACGTTCTCAAATATCCGAATTATTAAAAATCAAATTACGATTTACATGTTAAAGCAATAATAAAATAAATAAAAAAATAATAAAATAATTTGTTCACCTCATCAGTCGTTAATAGAGGATTCCTCCAGAGGCAATGGCCCTGAAGATGGCGTCACCTGACTGTCATTAGTCATCGGTTTGTGTTTTCCACGGAGTAGATGTCATCCGAGAACTCCGAGATACTATTTGGTCAAGTGAAAATTGTTGTGATATTCCACCAATAATTAAATACCCCCATTTTATGAATAGCCATTGGTGAAGGTGTTGGTGATTTAGTGATAATCCTGAGAGGATAAAAATGTTTCGCTTTGGCAGCAGTTCTCCCTTCGATGCCGAAGTTGGTGAGTAATTACATTTACCTCCCTCCACCCTCTTTACCTCCCCTTAACCTCTGTTAATTCAGTTACACATTGGATCATATTTTTTCCTTTGTGGAGAATAATTCGGGGATTTTATTCCATTCCTCATGATTTTTCCATGATTTTACGATGATTTCTTGATGGGATGAACTGGAATTGTTTCAAGGGCATGAACTCATGGAGTAATGTCATGTGATCATATGTGCAATGACCTCGATTTCATGATTTCATTCTGGAATCAAGAGTTAATGATAACACGTCGATTTAGTAACGGGTAAATGGACCACTTAGTTTTTCAGGAATATCTTCGAACCGATAGGAGATAGCGAAATTTTTTCTGTACCTTTTTTGCAGCTCTCATTGGGATCTACAAATGAGGTCCTGACAAATATTTAGGTATCTCTCTTAAATTCGCAGTTATTCCTCGAGAAGGGAACCAGCGATTCGTGAGAGGAGACAAATTCATTCAGGGAATAGACTAGTTTTCGAGGGATATCTCAAAATCTGTGGTAGATAGCGAAAATTTAGTTGAGACAATTTTTTAGCTCTCGATCCGCTCCACAAAAAAGGTTCCGTGTAAAAATTGCGTATGTCTCTTACATTCGGAGATAATCCTCAGCAATAGCTCGCACTCTCTTGACAGCATCTACAGTTAAAAAAATCAATCATTTAAGAAAAAAATTACCAGTAAAAATGACAGAAAAACATTCTTGTTCTCTCTCATGAATCATCGCAAGATGATAAACCCCCAATTAACCCCTGATTAATCTTGCAACGAGCAGACAAGGCGACGAATCACACAAATACAACGGAGGACTGGGCAAGCATAATGGACGTATGCGACACCGTTGGTAGCTCCAGTGCAAAAGCCAAGGACTGCCTGAGATCGATCGTCAAAAGGCTGAACCACGAGGATCCCCACGTTGTCCTGCAGGCGATAGCCCTCCTGGACGCATGCTCGAGCAATTGTGGGAAGAATTTTCACCTGGAGATAGCCTCCAGGGACTTCGAGGGGGAATTGAAGAAGCTGCTCGGTCGCACCCAGCCCCAACTAGTCGAGAGAACAAAGGGACTGATCAAGAAGTGGTCCGAGGGGGACTTCAAGAGTGATCCACAGCTCAATCTCATACCGAGCCTCTACACCAAGTTGAAGCAGGATGGAATGGATTTTTCAGGGTTGACAGAGCCCCACAAGCACTCGTGTTCCACAGCTTCTGCTAATGCCTCCAAGGAAGAGGCTGATTTTGTCAGGGCCATTGAGCTCTCCCTCAAGGAGAGCAAGGGACAAGAAATTGCTCACAATTCACCCAAGGGCACTAGTCTTTACCCCAGTGTCAACGCCTCATTGGTGTCCACTAATATATTTGAGAAGAGGAAGGTCAGGGCTCTCTACGATTTCGAAGCTGCTGAGGACAATGAGCTGAGCTTCACTGCTGGTGATATAATCCATATTCTCGATGATTCCGATGCAAACTGGTGGAAGGGTGTTCGAGGCAAGATGGAGGGACTCTTCCCAGCGAATTTTGTAACTGCTGATTTGTCAGTGGAGCCAGATCATATTACAAAATTGGAGCAGGGGAGTAAAAAATCGGTGCAATTTGTGGAGGAGGTCGATGTTAAGACACTGAAGAGAGAACCAGAAATTATTGAAGTTGAGATTGATGAGGGGAAGATTGATAGACTCCTGCATCTTCTTCATGAGGCTGATCCACAGAGTGACACCAATGATCCACCGGAATTGTTGGATCTTGAGGAGCAAGTGATGGCGATGGGTCCTCTCATCGATGCTGCTCTTGAGAAAGTCGACAGAAGGCATGCCCAGCTTACCCAGCTCTCATCAGACCTCGTGGATGCTCTGAATCTTTATCATACACTTCAACGAGAGCCACCACCTCCCACCTCCTCATATCCCTACAACAAAATTCCACATCATCCGGTTTATCCTTATCCTAATCAGCCTCCACACATTTTCAATGGTATGCCAGGGCATCACCAGTTCTCTGGAAACTTTAATCCAAATATATCGATGCCACCAGGGGATTATATACCACCAGGTACAATATTGATGATTAATTAAACAGTTGGACAGGGAATTCATCTTGGTATTTATTTTTTCAGGGGCAATGACTGGTATGTCGATACCACAGCACTATCATCTACCCCCTGGGCATCATCAGCATCCACATGGGGGTCATCCTGGCGCTCCTGTTCCGGGACATCCTGGCGCTCCTGTTCCGGGACATCCTGGTGCACCTCATGGACATCATCCAGCCCCTCATCACCCACAGGGACTCCCCCAGCCCAATCTATCGAGTCAGATTCCAGAACAGACCAGCTTGCCTTATCAAACACAAGGGTAAGTCCTTCCAAATGAAAAATCAAAATTTATCCTAATCCAAATCCAAAATTTATCATTTAATTCTCAAGAAAAAATGTTTTTTTAAATGTATACAATTATTTTAATCGAGAGAAACTCAAGAGAAAAATTGCGATTTGAGGTGAAAACATTTTTTTTCCAGATTTCCACCTCAAGGTGTGCCACAGCAGTTCGTACCCCCAGGCCCCCAGGGGCCACCCCCTCAACAGGCCCCATATGCTCCTCCCAATGGTCAACATATGATGTGAAGAGAAAAATATCGAGTGCATACTCAAATCGTAACTATTTAATTAACGAACAATTCAAGTTCAATGGAAATAATCGAAAATAGCCAAAGAAGGGTTTTTATATGTATGAAAAGGCATTATCCATGGAATTCACCGGTCCTAGCAACTGTTGGCGGTTCAGAATAATCAGGAATTATAAATCCTGAAGCGAAAATCAGATCTGCAGTTTATTTAGTGAAACCATAACATTTTTCGTGGGGAAATCAATTCCCTCGATGTGTCACTCATTCCCTGAATATTTTCTAAATCAATTGGATAATTATTCAACTGCATTCCCAATTGATAAAAAATTTTTCTTCGTTATTTTTTAATCGATAATAAATGGACTTGAGTAATTGACGTCGAACAATATTTTATTCTTTCTTTGAGAGATGGTGAGACGAATTGGAGAGGTAGACTGCAATATTTTTTATTTATTTCCAGGTGTTACAGATGAACAGTTAATAGCCCAGAGTCTATGGAGTTTCAATAATACCCAGTACTTTATTCATTAAAGCAAACCCTTCGGTAGCTGATGAGTTCAGTGAACAATGTTTTTTGTTACGACCTTTAAAAGTATCGTAATTAATTATTCCGGAGCTTGATGGAGGAGAAATTGATGATTAATGTTTAATGAGGAGGAAACGAACCCCCGGGGTTCTAGTCTGTCCATTGTAAATAATCATGATTATGAGTACTGCGATATCACGATTGATGAACATTTATTTGTGAAATTATTGATGATTAATTAATAAATGATGCATTAAGGAAAATCACGTCTTCAATTCAGTTGTAAAACCACACGAAATCGAGTAGTTGGGGAATTTTCCCAGAATACTCCGAATCTACGAGAGATAGAAAAAAATTCACCTGATTCTTTTTTGCAGCTTTTATTCCACTTTATAAAAAAGATTCTAATAAAAATTTTGCTAATCCTCGTAGATTCAGAGATATTGTCGATTTTCAATGTCTTCCATCATGGAAATTCACCCAAAATTCTTTGAGGTTATGTCCAGTATTTTGCTACAAGATCCTGAGAAGATGCCTCTGATCATCATCACCGGGATCCCCTCGAGTGGAAAAACTCGAAGAGCTCTCGAAATAAAATCATTCCTCGAGGATAAAAATAAAAAAGTGGAAGTGCTCAGTGAAAGTGAACTTGTCATCAAGAGTGGATTCGATAAAAATGATTTCTACATGGACTCGAAGAAGGAGAAGGCCATCAGGAGTGAAATCAGGTCGAGTGTCCAGAGGACATTGAACTCCAAGGATGTTCTGATTGTCGATGGCAGTAATTACATCAAGGGATCGAGGTACGAGCTTTTTTGCTTGTCCAAGCTATATAAAACTCCACAGTGCACCATTCATTGTGATTTACCTGGAGAACATGCCTGGCTGTTAAATTGTGATCGAGAAGAGGATCGATATTCCAGGGACACTTTCGATGCCCTTCTTCTGAGGTAAACAATCATTCTATTAATTATTTTTTATATAATTCTGATAATTTTCCAGTGGCAATAAAACCTATGAATTTATAGACAATGAATTTTCCACTTTTATTTATTATTATAGTATTTGTTCGTTATTATTTGTTTATTCAGAAAATAGGGATACCAATGTTTATTTTATCTGTTGAATGCCCAAATGTTTATTTATTTATCGAGAGCTTAGGAATTTAATGATAAAAATTATTGTAATTAATTGGAAATTTTCAGGTACGAAACGCCTAACAACAAGAATCGTTGGGATAGTCCTCTATTTTCAGTAACTCCAGAGGATAAATTGCCTCTGGATGATATCTATCATTCACTCTATTCGGTCGATGCCCCAAAACCCAACATGAGCACCCAATCAGTAAGAAAAATGCACTATCAATTCTAAAAGAATGTTATCTGTCGTTAAAAAATCATTAAAGAAAAAATGTTCTAATCTCATTTATAAATTCTCATTCCCCCAGCCCACGGTATCTGCCACGAATTATCTCTACGAATTGGATAAGATCACCCAGGAAATAGTTAACGTGAGTATTAAATTAAATAAATTAAAGAATTTTCTTTGTTCTTCATAGAATATGCAATTAACGCGCTTCGTGAAATTGATTTAATAAATTGCAGGTCGTGACAGCGGCAGATCAAATGGGCATAACGAGCGACATTAAACTGCCTTCTTACAATTTAATAGTCGACAGGAGTACGAGTGCAGCGCAACTGACGAGACTGCGAAGACAATTTTTAACGTACAGTAAAATGCATCAGGTCGATTTGAACCAGATAGCCCAATTGTTTGTACAGTATTTAAATAAAAGTATATGAAACTAAATTATTCTGAAGAAATACGCCTATAGTCAACGTCAAAGTCTCTTTAATTTCATTTAATTAAGAAAAATTATGCGATATGCTGATCTGTTGGAGTGAATATATACAATAATTCGTAGAAAACGCAAGTAGATATAGCATGCATCAATTCTTTCTCAAATACGAAATGTCTATCTTCTCCTAAAAATATTAATCTGGCTCTCACATTGCAACAACGATATTCCATAGTGATATGGATATGAATAAATTTCAATTCTCATTTCCCTCTGAAATTGAGAGAAACAAAAAATTACACAAAGGCACTACTGATATACCATATAGTCAATTCGTCAACAAAAAGTGATTACTCTCTTATTTGTCCAGTGATATCCACGTTTTTTTGGTCATTCTTGTGATTTGTGCTAGTTAAAATATCATCGGATTTCACGAGAATATTTTGTACAATTTTATTTAGGTTATTAAAAAACTTTTCGATGGAAAAGTAAAAATGATGTCTCAATTTCCTGACTCCGTTCCATTGACGTATGTCAATTCTTTTTTCGATTTTCTACATACGAAGTAGACACTCTGGTACTCACACTGCAACATACTGTTTGTGTTTTGGGCGTACCGAGTTTTCATACGGGTTTGCTCTTTCTGAAATTGTAATTACGGATAAGACGATAAGAGATTGCTCAGTCATTTGTTAATTGAATTTCAAAGGAAATAATTTGTAGTAAATATCAATATTGACCTCGATTTGAAATCCAAACCCGAGAATAACATCTCTGACAACCTCGTAACTAGGTTCTATCGAGTCCTCCATTGGCATATCACTGAAGTGATAAAGGAGTGGCCCCAGGTTAATCCAAATGCCCCCAGGCTTCAAAATATTGTGGATTGTTTCAATAAACTGGACGACATTGTTGGCACAATCAATAAAAAAGCAAGTGGCCACACAATCCCAATGATTGCTTTCAGTGTACACCTGAAAATTTTTAAAATAAAAAAAATCAGTGAAAATCTCCGTATCTCCCCCAAAAAAAATCTGCAAAAAATATTCCCCACCTCCAGAAAATCCCCTGCAGTCATGGAAAATTGGGCGTTTTCAGGTAAATCACTGGGATTGACGTCTGGAAATGAAACTGCCTGGGTCTGATGTCCAGCGAGAAGATTATTCATGTACTGGTGAACCCAGGGGTGCACCTGATACGAATTAATTCCCCTGCACCTGAAATCCAAATCTCAAGTTTAATTCCACCTTAAAGAGATTAAAAATGGAAATTAATGAATTATGAATTACTTATTCAAGACGAAGTGCGAGGCAAACAGCATGAACAGAGAAAATTCATTTCCCTGACAGGTGTAACCACGTTTCGCTATTTCGTATGCCAGTCTTCCCAGACCTGCACCAGGTACCAGTACCTGAACATCAGCTGCATTCCTGAATTATTGGAATAATTGGGAAATGGATAATTGACCGATAATTCTCTCCTACAATTAATTAATCAATTGAAACGAATGAAATCAAATTGACAAGTTATCCACTACTGCAATAAATAATCGATAAATAAATGAATTACTCAATGAAATCGCAAGTGAATAACGAAATAATTAATAAATAAATGTAATACCAGAATTCAGCTGGAAATTGTGCAATAATTTCATCAATAATAGGCTGATAGCAGGTATCTCGTTCATCCTTTCCCTCACTACTCCAATCCCTCACCAATTGTTTAATGGTCGCTTGTACTTTCTCCTGATCAGCCAACACCGGTCGTGGATTGAGTGTCTGCAATCAGACCTACCTATATTCCCACAATAAGAATATTCGTACAAATGGAGACCATGAATTACTGGGGAAAATCGATCAATAACATCAATAAATAGATTTTTTGAAATAATGAGTCATCGAGAGGTCCGCAATACGAGGGGGACAAACATCATTAACATATCCCAATAAACATGCCACACACCATTGAAATTTGTCTTACACTGTCGGTATGAGTATTCGATGGATTGACATTCTCGAATATGTGGGATACGTCTTTTATGATGAGTTTTATAATATCGTCATTGTTCTCGATGCACAGCTTCACCTCCTGCAGATGTTCCCTGTATTTTGTTAATAATTTTTGGTGATGTGGAGGCAGGGACAGGAGATAGCTCTCAGTCTTTTTCACTCTTTGCAGCGAGTGTGGTCTGAAATACAATAAATAATTCATTAAAACAATTCTAATTCCCCGAAAGTGCCTTTTCACCAGGTTCAATATAAAAATAAAAAATCTCGAAGAAGGTTATGTGCACGACGAAAACAGGGAATAGCCCTGAAACTCTCAGTAATTGTCTCACTCGAGTTCATTGCATAATAAAACAGCTGAATAAGGGCAAGCCCTTGACTCGAGTTGTAGGGAGGAATTAATATCAGACGAACCCTTCGGGATAACTCACTTGTAATATTTAAACGCCGACACAATTCGCTGAAAGTGTTTTCTCTCCTCCTCGTCCTCATATGAGTCTGACATTTTTCTGTACCCATCAGCCATCGCCTCCATCCTGAGCCCTTTGTCCCTTTGCTGTCTGTGATCCCCAGGTATCATGAAAATATTCCCTCGACCTCCAGTCGATGCACCCACGAGATTCAGGTACCGATTTTTTTCCCTCGTGGCTTTTTTTTCTTTCTCTTATTTTATCCCCGGGTCTCGTGTCTCTTCCAGCCTCTTTCTAGCTTCTTCCTCTTCTCTCCCTCGTTTCGCTTATGGAGTATGTTTTTTCACATTTCGATTATCGATTTAAACAATCGAGTATCGAGTTTGACACAATCGATCCTGAACCGACAAAGACTAATTGGCTTTCGTGTTCGATTCGTTCGATTGTTGGAGTGTGTCGATAGGATTTTTGGGTTATTTCGGTTGATTCTGTGTTTTTTTTTGGTATCTTCTCGGTTTTTTTTTTTCGAGCCAACATGTGGGGATGCTCTTTGGAGTGCTGACCAGCTGGATTTTGGCGGGATTTCATTGTTTTCGGGGCTCGAAGGGGTGACAGTTGGTGACAACGGTGTGACATTCTTTTCATTTTTTGTTTTTTTATCGAAGCTCGAGGATTATTGTTGGAGTTATTATTCAGGTGTGATTCATTTATTTGTACAGGCACGGTGAGGGCTGCACATTGGAGATAATCCGCGATTAAAATTACTCGGGTGGGCGTGTTGTCTGGGTCTCCTGTTGATAGTGTGGACACGTCTCATGTATGACAGCTTTCAATAATTTGAAAAACTCTAAAAATTCCCCACAATATAATTTCAAATTTTCACGTCCAGAAAATCCCGTAAAATTCAAAATTATTTCAAAAAATAATAACAATACCAATAATATTAATAAATAAATAATAATTATCTGTTATTAACAGCAGAAAAAATGCTGGCCCCAGAGACAGGTTCAACCAACTCAGATGCTGTGCACATTCGAATTCACTCGGAGAAGGCGCCCCTGATCTCAGGACGTTCAATGCTCCGTCGTCTGGGTTCACTCCTGGGCATCAAAAAATCCTCGACAGCAATGTCAGACGGTTACGTAGAGTTCAGCAACCTGGAGTCACGAAATGGTCGAACCCTGGGAACATTTGCCGGAGTCTTCAGCCCCGTGACTCTCTCCATGTTCTCAGCCCTTGTGTTTATTCGAATGGGCTACATAGTGGGAAACGCGGGTCTCCTGGTAACCCTCGGCCAGTTCGTGATAGCTTATGCAATCCTCGTCTTCACGGTGGCCTCCATATGCGCAATATCGACTAACGGAGCGGTCGAAGGTGGTGGTGCATACTTCATGATCAGTAGAACCCTGGGACCAGAGTTCGGTGGATCCATTGGCACGATCTTCTTCATGGCGAACATCGTGTCATCTGCTCTGTGCATATCTGGTTGTGCTGAGGGAATAGTCGAGAATTTTGGTCCCAACGGATATTTCACTGGGTCAGCATCAATATTCCCTGATGGCAGATGGTGGAGATTTCTCTACTGCACTGTCCTCAATACTGCCAATCTCGTTGTCTGTCTCATCGGTGCTGCCATGTTCGCTAAAACGAGTGTTGCCATTCTCGCTGTTGTCTGCATTTGTCTATTCAGTGTTTTCATCAGTTTTCTCGATCGATCGGCCATGGAGGTGCCAATACCCGACGCCAATACCATCGTCAAGAACATCACTGATCACCTCAATGCATCTTACACTGGTATGAGATTAGACACGTTGATGAGCAATCTCTACTCAAACTACTCAGCGGATTACTCCAGCTCTGGCTCGATCTCATCATTCGCCTCGGTCTTCGGTGTGTTATTCTCAGGTGTCACTGGGATAATGGCTGGTGCCAATATGTCAGGAGAGCTGCAGAATCCAGGGAAAAACATTCCACGAGGAACTCTGTCAGGAGTGCTCTTCACCTTCGTGTGTTACATTCTTCTGTCGATATTCACAGCCGCAACCTCAAGTCGATTTCTCCTTCAAAACAACTTCATCTACATGATGCCGACGAATATCTGGCCGCCGTTCGTTGCCCTGGGAATTCTCACAGCGACATTCTCAGCGGGACTCTCCAATTTGATCGGCTCGAGTCGAGTACTGGAGGCCCTCGCTAAGGACAACGTCTTCGGTTCAGGCCTGTCATTCATCACTACAGGTATCTGGCGTGGAAATCCCATCGCTGCAGTCTTCACCTCGTGGTCCCTAGTCCAAACGATTCTTCTGATCGGTTCCCTGAATACAATAGCTCAGATAAATTCAGTCCTCTTTCTCCTGAGTTATCTGGCAACGAATCTGTCGTGTTTGGGTCTAGAGTTGGCATCAGCCCCGAATTTTCGTCCCACCTTCAACTATTTCACGTGGCACACAGCAACAATTGGCCTCGTGGGGACCCTGATAATGATGTTCATCATAAACAGCATCTACGCCTCCATCAGCATCATAATCTGTCTGATTCTTATAATCGTTCTCCATCTATTCAGTCCCAGTAAGAATGCAGCCTGGGGCAGCATCTCCCAGGCTCTCATCTTCCATCAGGTACGAAAATACCTGTTGATGCTGGACTCGCGAAAGGATCACGTTAAATTCTGGAGACCACAGATGCTGCTGATGGTGGCCTCCCCCAGGTCATCGTGCTTTCTCATCGATTTCGTCAATGACCTGAAGAAGGGGGGGCTATACGTCATTGGTCACGTGAAAACTGGAGAATTCAGTGGACAGAGTGTCGATCCTACCATCGAGGAGTACCCAAAGTGGCTCTCCCTCGTCGATCATCTCAAGGTCAAGGCGTTTGTAGAACTGACTGTTACGAAAACCGTGAGGGAGGGCCTTCAGCATCTCATAAGAATATCAGGAATGGGTGCTATGAAGCCAAACACTATAATCCTGGGTTTCCACGACGAGGAGACACCTAGGGATTTCTTCAGGGACTCCAAGTACAGGACTGAGCTGTTCGATCAGAGCAATTCATTTCCTCTGAGGGCAATCGGTGGTGAGAGGACTCTCGATGGAGTTCAGTACGTGGGGATGTGCAGTGATGTTCTCAGGATGAAGAAAAATCTCTGTCTCTGCAGAAATTTTCATCATCTTGATAAAAATATGATGGGAAAGGGTGGGAGTCTGGAGTTCATTGATGTGTGGCCAGTGAATTTTTTCAATCCCACTGAACAGGATCCTTTCGACACGACGAGCCTCTTCATGATGCAACTCGCTTGTATTATCAATATGGTGCCATCCTGGAAGGGTCTCACCCTCAGGGTGTTCTATGTTGATGTCCAGGAGGGAGGGAGTCTCAATATTTCGGATCCTGGGAGGGCTGGACACTTTGTGGGGGTCTCCATTGAGGCCAGGATAAGGAAACTCCTGGATATGCTGAGGATATCGGCGCAGATTCAAAAGGTTTCTGGGTGGAATGGTGGTACGGACAGGGGGGGAAGGGTTCTGGAGGCTAATCAGATCATCAGGAGACGATCTGGGGCAACTGCTGCGGTTTTTATGTATCTACCAGCTCCACCCAGTGCCACTTCCTGGGAGGAGGCCACTTTTTATCAGGAATATCTTCATCTACTTGGGGAACTCACCCTGGGACTCCCTCCCACTGTTCTCGTCCATGGCATCAGTGCTGTCACTTCTACCACTTTGTAACGAATATGTGTTCAGTATTCAAGGTTTTTAATTTTTAGGGAGGATATCAGGGGCCAAGTGAGATCTGTCGAATTTCATTCTTTTACCAATTATCTATTTATCTCGATAATCATGGGTGCAAGGGGAAAATAGTAAAGGAGTGTTTTTGGAGCTCGATAAATTTTGAACGAAAAAGATCTTTTCGTATTTTCTCGTACAATCAATGGTTTTCAAGATAAAATCATTTGGAATTTAACAAAATTGAAAAATTCGACTTATCTTACTTTATTATTTTACTACTGAATTGATAACTCGTGATAAAATATTAGCATTTGATTTATGATTGAAGTACTGAAATTGTTGAGGTGAGAAATTATTTTCGGGTGAATTTGGCTTAGGGGAAATGTCATTTTATGACTCGTTTTAGAACTTTTTACTTCGCCGAGTGATTCTCATTACTTTCCATAAATTAAGATTGAATTATAGTATTTTTACGAAATAACGAAATCTGGGGAATAAATTAATGATAATTGTACATAAAAGCCTGAGGGTTTTATACTAAATAAATAAATACCTAAACCTATCTGATAACATTCTGAGTTCAATATAACTCGATACCAATATACTGTATAAATATAATTGTTTAATATTTACCGTTTGTACATGAATTAATAAAAAATTATTAGTAACATGGAATTATTCAGCAGTAGATTAACCGAAGGCTGTGGTCCTCAATTAGTCTGGATAATACAATTATTTAAATAAATACCGCCAGCGGATTTGACGTACTTTCGACAGCAATTTTAATATTAATATATTTGACACCTCATTGCACCAATTGACTAGGCGATAGGGACGGATCTGTAGATTCAATTTATTTTTTCAATAAATCTGGAAGAGCCTTTGAAAGACAAGTGTCGGATTTTGATTCCTTCAGGTCTCCAGTGCTCTGGAAGTGAAAAAAGTGACATTCCATTCTAATCTTCTAATTTTCTATCTGAATTTTGTATAAATTCTCCTATTTCCGTTATTTTCTGAATTTTTAATAATAATTTTACAATAAGATCTCGAAAAAATCAAACTCACGAGATTTCGCTGGAGATTCCTCTGATCGTACTCCGACGTGGAATTCCTGAGGAGTCCATAGTCATCAAGGATCTCCCCAGGTCTGAGCTTGACCCCGACAAGCCTGAGGATATCCTCGAGCTTCTCCGAGTACTCCATATGACCCCCAACAACAGCCCCCAGGTCAATATTTTCGATTCCAGAGTGATTCAGAGGCATGAGCCCGGCAACAGCTGTTGTCATTGAGAAAGTCCTGTAAAGAAACCTGAGGAGCCAATCACTCCTGGCATATCCATTGACAACCCTTCCAGCTACTATTCTCGAGCACATGCCCCACTGTCTCTCATCAGCAGTGACAGGTGCCCCAAGGAGAATGGCATCCTGGACAATTCCCAGGGCATTTTTACCCCCAGTCTGGCACATCTCTCGAAGACAATAAAAAATTACTCGTGCACCGAGAGAGTAGCCGATGAGGGTGACAGGTCTCTTCCCATGTTGTCGACTCAGGAGGACATGTGCCAGGTGTTTGCCGACCTCGGAGCTCCGACGACAGCAGACAGACCAGGGATTATCAATGACCGATGATATAGAGAGAAGAGCAGTAGGCCAGGCTATCGCCGACATCAGACCACTCAGGATTGTGTACTTGAGTGCCTCCTGGGTGGCGAATGACACTGCCATGCTCAGAATGTACTCCAGCGCCTGACCCAATTCCACCAGGTACTTTGTTTCGTATCTCAGGGCGTACTGCTCCCTGGAAATGGCCAAGCACCTCCAAGGACGGAGGATTGCTCCAGGATCTTCAGACTTCAGCCATCCTGTTATGGCTATTGCTATGTGCAACTGACTGTCGGTTTGTGAGGCGCAACTTAGGGGCTGGAAGGAGAACTCCTCCAGGTGACCCACTCGTTTGTTCATCTTGTAGCCTGCGGAGGTTTAATGGCTCTGGAGTTCTCTTTGGGGATGCTTTAAGGAGATTTTACCTGTCAGTCCAGCTCCAGCAACTCCAAAAATTGAGCCAATAATTGTTACTCCAGCGGTGCTCGTCAAGGCGACGGTGGTTGCCCCTCCCAGGATGGTTCCCACTCCGACACCGATCAGAGGAGCTGCCAGTCCACCTGTCAATCCTATCAGAGTCCCACCAGCTAGAGTTGCTATTCCTACTGAAGCGTATCGCTTGATTTTCTTGATTTTTCTTCGACGATCACTCGCCCTCTGCTCTTCCCTGAAGATTATTATTTTTAATTCAATTATTTTTACTACTTTGATCTATTTTACTTTTTTATGGAATTTTGATTTTGATTTTTGTCTATTAATTCTCGGTTTTCGTTAAAAATTCTAACTCTGTTACTGTGGGCTCGTCATCGTTGAGCATCGACACCAGCGAGTGCTCGTAGAGTTCCACCAGGTCGAACGGCACGAGAAACAGATCAGAGAGTTTTCGGACTAGAACTCTCTGACGGGCGTCGTATTCTCCTGGAGGAATTATTGAGAATTTTAATTATGAAAATAATCCAGAAATTGTAATCATCTATTCTACTGTGTTTCAAGCATTTTTATTCCATTCGATAGTTACCTGATGCAATTCCTGGCAAAATAGAGCATTAAAAATGTTCGTCTTCATGTTTAGTACGGAAAATAGCTTTTCGGTGTAAATGTATTTCTTGTGTTTAGGATTTCAAAGTAATTGAAAAAATGTGAGACATAAAATAATTCATAAAAAGGCTAATGATTCAATTCAATTAATATTAAATTAATGAATGAATGATTTTTGTTATTACAAACCGAAAAATTTATCTGATTTAATTTTTTTTTTTAAATTCTCACCAATTCCATCAATTTACCAATTCATCGATTTATCTAGACAATAATTTATAAAGTATATAAACATCAATTATTAAAAACTCACATATATCCAATAATTTACAATAATTTAAATTATTCAATTAGATTCACAGAAATTTCAAGGGAATTAATGAAATTAATCATGTGTTTTCCTTTAACTCTTCTTTAATGAATAAAATTCCTAATCCTCTTGAGATAAATTTAATTAGAATACACTGACCACTCTGAACAGCAATGAAGACAGTCAGCTGGATCACCAGGATGCCCCTGCCATCGATTCCTGGCTCGTTCATCAGTAACGAGACGTAGGGCTTGGTATCCTGACCAGAATCACCCATCACCAGGACCATCATAACATTTTCCTGTGTCTCCTTCACTCGAAAATACCTGCACAACGATCTGACGTATTTCTCGTTGAACTCGGCATTGCATTCCCCAGGAAACAACTCCCCGAGGCAGATACTGCAGACAGATAAATACGCATAGATCCCACAATCTGTCATATGCGACGGTGGATTTCCTGGGGAATAAATAAATAATGAATAATTATATTTTTGGAGGAAAACAGAATTAACACGCACGATCCAGGAGATCAGGCTTAAATGGTAGATTAATAATTAATAATTAAGGATTGTTTACCCTTTTTATCGTCAGATTTAGTCTCCAGCTGCTCCATTGTGGTCCACAGATGTTGGGAATAATTTAATTAACGGAAATCCTCGGGGTTGATTGGAGTATTGATGAGATTTAAACAATTATCACCGCGTTAGGCACTGGGATACGAATATTACATCGCGGTTCTCATGATAATTGTGGTAATTCAGATCATGTGATAGGCGGCTCGATATCAATACTCCACAGGTTATGCTGTGACGTGGGTTCAATCCTGGCACCTAGATATCATTTTTAAAAATAGAAAAATCTCGGCAAGTACGAGAGGAAAAATTGTTTACGATAAAACTGTTAAACTGTTTTAATTTATTTGTAGAGGAATTTAAATGCAGATGATTATCTTGGGGCTCTCATTTTTTCAACTGGATTTATTTTGTAGGAATAATTTTTTTTAGGAATTATTAACGTTTTTTAATTTTTGTGGACGGTTTATTATTTATTATTATTAGTTTTTTCATGTTTTTTTTAAGTCAGTCATTTTTTTTTTATCGGTTCATTAATATTTCTCGCCATTCAGGGACAACGCAGAGCTGATGGATTTTTCTGATGATCTCTTTCGATTGAACTCTTCAATATTCGGCGGTAATTTCGGTTTGTACGTATCGACGATCGCTAGGATTGTATCGGGGTATCCAGGGGAGAAATACCTTCAATTGAAAATAAAATATTGCAATTATTCCACTGAACTGTGACGTAATTTCAATTTAATTTTGTAAATCTTGAAATTTTTGGGGAATTCTCTCCAGCATTTTATTTTTCTGTCAATTACTATTCCATTTATTCTCCCACACATTCTTAAATTCAAATTATCAAACAAAAAACGTCATCAAGATGTCATTAAAGGGCCCAACACATCACTAACCTGGCCACATGTACAAGCCCCAGCTGACGCGTACGTACAGATCAGCTGTCCATAAAAAAATGGCAGCCGCACAGTTAAATTCCACGTCAAGCAAAACAAACACTCAATTCCCACGCAAATAAACAAAGTACATGAAAATAAACAAAATACCCGAACAATTTTCACATTTCACAACAATGTCATGTGCCACAAGTGCTGAACCACGATTGCCTCGTGTTGTCGGAGTGATCAATGTGCTGTGAGTGTTTTTATAAAATTTTTTTATCTAAAAAATACGAGTGAAATTCCAGAGTGGAGAATGAACTATATAGGCCCGAGCCCAGTAATTTCGATGAGTTGTGAAGAGATTTTAGCGAGTGTTAATCAAGTGTTCGCGATGACGTGATAATGAGGCGATTGAGAGGCGAAGGATTCGAGGATTCACCAGGTGAACACCAGATTTTCCAAATTGTTAAGACAAAGTAGATAAAAATAATTGTACGAATGTGGATAAAATGCACGGAGAGTTGATTATCAGGAGAATAAATTAATGGAGTAATTAATTAATTAATTAAGCTACTGGGGATGTCTGCTGGTTGATTTGAATCGATAATTCTTTGGTACCTGACGATTTCCTCGGGGAAACACGACAAAATGATCGCCTGGTACTGGGAAAGGGTTGACCCAGGGTCCAGGTCGACTTCCTGGATTTTCCTGAGACCTCCCATGGACACGAAGAGTCTCCTGGCCTTCGGGTCCTCGGGGAGAATCTGGAGATGTTCATTAATTCGTTTGCATTCTATTAATTATTCTCATTCAGCGGATATTTCATTTTTTTTTTCAATATTCGGGCTTTTGCGTTTTTCCAATTGCGTATTGCGTTGGAAACTATTTGCAGTCAATGATAATTGGAGTGTTATCATATCACCGCAGGCTGATAATTATAATCACATCATAGGAAACGCTCGTGTAAAAGATTAATGGAATGGTTTTCTGGGAAATTCTAGGGAATGTGGAAACTCTGAAAAAATCAGGAATTTTCCAGATTTCCTTTCGATATTCATCGAATTTTTTAAATTGAATTAAAAAATTGTAATATACGATTTAATCCCTCCATGAACTTGAATATTTCTTAAAAACTATAAAAAATGTCTGAAAATGTCAACGAATTAAATTGTTTTATAAAAGAAAAAAACATAATCGATCAGTAATTTAAAAAATTGTTTAATTAAATTAACAACTCGAGGAGAATACCAGAATCGAAAGAATTCCCATTAATAAATTGAATAAATAAATATATTGCTGCAATCGGTCCTTTCACATTTTGATTGTTGATAAGAAAATTTCTGGGGGATTGACATCTCCATGGAAATTCAGGACAATCAAGGAAAATGGTGGAAAATCAAGGAAAATCAAGGGAAATCAAGGGAAATCAAAGAAAATCAAGAGAAATCAAGGGCAATGCTGTAGAAAATACTGATCACCAGCTATTGATAAATGTGTTACATCGTTGGGTCTAAGAATAAGGCTTCCTGAAACCTGACCCATACACACAAGCATTTCAGTGCCATTAATATTGTTCAGTCGATACAGTCCCGTTGGTGGCAATTGACAGCCACCACACTGGAGATTCTAATAAAATTCGCATTCCTCAATCCCCTCGTCACAACATAAAAATCAGTATCACAAAAACATTCAATCATCACTTGACGATCGCACATTGATTCAACCAGACAATCAACTCTGTTTCCCACGATTTCTCATGGTAAATGCCCCATTTACCTCTTAAACTATTAAACTATTATCTGTGAAGCTCTACAATTCAGTGGTGAAGTGGAACATAAATAAAAGATTATCACACCATTTTTTTTTTTTTATTCAATTATCTTCGTAATCATTGGCGATGGGATCGGGAGAATTTTATCAGCTGCTGAGGAGAAATCATTATTATTCATTCAACCTGGCGTCAATCTTATCTAGAATTCAACTGCCCTTTGAGTGAATTCCATTTTGTTATCAGAAACAATTAATCAGTAATCCCCTTTTCCTCAAGCTGACGCCACGTGAGAGCAAACACCGGAGAGCAAATAGCTTTAAATAATTCACATGGCAAACGAATTTTCCCTCATCTGACAAATAAATTATCATCAGTTCTAGATGGACGATTGACCCCGAGGCACGTCAATCCACTATCGAGAGTAGAGATCATCAACATCCCGATGCATCACGCAGCAAACAAGAGTGTCTAGAAAAAAAAAACGAGTCATCAATTTTCCAATCGCAAATTTCATAAATAACGGTTGAGAAGTAAATGGGAACGATAGAATCATCTCCGTCGTGACGACAAATAACTCGAAAACAGGAGCGATTACGTCAAATCGTAAATCTTGGTGGCAAACTTGGAGATCTTGGAATTAAATCATTTGGTGCGAGACAAATTGCGGTATCACTTGGTGAGAGGCTGTGGTGTGGAGAACTTCATGAGTTTCTGGGTAATTCGTCGATCAAGATGATTAATCAGCAGAGGGTCATCAGTTCGGGTGAGACCAATGGACAATTTCATCATACTCCGGTGTCTGCTAAACCATCCGTGGTTTCTGTGTCCAGTATTGACTCGGATGTCAGTGATCGGAGGGATGTCAGGGAGGCACTTTACTCGGGAATATTCAGGAGACACAGAAAAACCATTTTGGTACTCGGCAGTTTCCTCAAGATGTTAAGGGTGAATAGAAATGTTAATAATTATGCTAGTATCAAGGCGAATGATGATGCCGATGAGTAGGTGGGATTCATGTGGAAATTTTGAGTTAGAGGTTTTCGGTTTTTGGGTTTTATTTGGGGATGGAGGGGTAATAGCGAAATTTTTGTGGAGATGTTTTTTGTAGAGGTTGAAATGTTCGGGGGAAGAAGTCCTTAGAGGAAAATCGATAGCTCTCGCGGGTTTGGAGATATTCGTGAAAAATGCGGGTGGTGGATTAATCCGATTATTGCACTTCGAATTTTTTGGGATTCAGTTTTTCAGGGATATCGCGAAATCTGTGAGAGATAGTGAAATTCGGTTCATCAGCTTTTTTGGGGAGTGGAGTGAGAGCTACAAAATCGGTTCTGATAAAAATTCTCTAGCTCTTTTAGATTGCGAAATAAACACCAGTTTTTGAAAATATTGAGACATTTCGCGACTCTATAATTGTGATAATCGAATAATTAGAACATGAAATTACTTCCAATTCCTTTCAACAAAATTTCTTCATGGATTGAAAATAACTCGAGATACCCCTGCCCTTCCCCCACCGCCAGATAATCGCTATGAAAATTAATTATTAAGAATACAATTAGCGAAACGACAATTGGGGAATTTTGGGAAAGTTTGTAAATTTTTTCGTTCTCTCTTATTGAAATTTTTGCAGAAAAATTTGAACAAAGTGCAAGCACTGAGTCGAATACTGGCCATGATCGTAATGAGATTCGACCATAATGCAATGTCCCAACCATTCTATTAAGACACTGGACGGATTTGATGTGATTTCAAAGACACTTCACTGAAAGTAACGATACAAATGCCTATGATAACACCAACTTTAATATTTCGACTTAAACTTCTCAAATTCATTCGAAAATTCAATCGATGGAAAATATACTCGTCACAGGATCAAACGCAATGCCTTATCTGTTTGTCGTAAAAATTCGCGAGGAATATCGAAATAATTCCCATATACCCTAAAAAAATTAATAATACGTGTAAAAAAAAAAAGGAAAATCGCATTTTATAGATTTTTAAATATAAATTCGGTCCATTCCACATATTTTGAGACATATTTTTCACATCCCAGATTTTTTCGTATAAGAAATTGTTAATTAATTGTGTTATTTACAAAATTAATTGAATTTTTTAATTAGATGTTGTAATAAAAATTATTTTAAATCTTCATTCCATTTTTATGAATGTGTCTCCTCAACTGCCAGTAGTTAAACATTAATTGTGATAATTTAGCGTTCGCCAATGTCACATTATTCCAAATAACTCGCGGAAATGCAGTAAAATATTATAAATAAAACGAGCAAGAGTGAACGTATGAAACATATTTTCATTGCGCCTTTTTTATTCACTTGTAAAATCATTATTAAAAATGTAATCGACCATCTTTTGTAATAAAAATACTTTAGATATTTATCCTCGTGTATCCTTTGAGTCCTCTCTCTGCGATTTGAAGATATTTCAATAGTAAAATTAATCTGTCGATTATTCGATAACAAAAGCCTTTAGTGAACATTTGCCTCTGTACAATCAAGTCTGATAACAATATCGATTTATAATGAGAACATAATGAGTCTCGTTAAACTAAAATATGCGATGAAACCAAAAGACTTTTTACGCTTAATCATTTTCTATCTCAATTACTGCCACTTGTGGAAAAATTTAATACACATTTTTTGCGCTTTCTCTGAGGAATTCTATTTTCTATACATTTACTCGGAATTTGTGTATGGATTTTCCAAATAATTTATCCTGTAGCGATTTTTTATTGTTTTCTAGGAATTTATTATGAAAAATTAATAAAAATGTAAAATGAATTTTGAATAAAATTTTTATTGAATTTGAAGATAATTTCTGATGAATTCCAATCAAAAAAGAAAATAATTCCCAAAATTTCACAGAAAGCGCAAATTTTTTCTGAATTTCCATAGTTTTTCATTTTGATAACGAAATCAAATTTGATACTGAGAATTATTCAATGTTCAGGACTCCTGGAAATTTTTGGGATTGAATTCAGTAATGAAATGATAAAATTAAACAAAACATTAATTATTGCAAAATATCCGATAAAAATACCTGCAAAATGTCGTCACGAGTCGATTAATCATTTTATTACTGAATAATCTCTTCTCGTAATTGCATTCAGATAATAGATGAAGAGAGGAGAGAAGAAAAGGTTCTTATATTTATAATGTAAACCGAGATAATGAAATCCTCATTGAAGGTACGACAAAGTGGGTGAATAGTCTCTTTCGCGAGCAATTACATTATTTACTGTGGAATATATAGACTGGGTCTATATCGTAAAACAATAAATCACTCGGAGCAAAAGTACTTGCACGACAGAACGCGAAAATTATCAAAAGCATAGAATAAAGATGAAAATCAGAAAATCAGAAAAAATGGTGCATGTAGAAATAGTATGAATATTCGCTGTGTATCATGTCTGTTTATACCATTTATTTTTTTCAATAATTGTTCCTTTATTTGTAAGCGAATTGTGTAAAAATGGAGAATAAAGCTCTTGCTAATAAATATTTACTCATTATTCCAACAGATCATTGAGTAGAAAACGCCAAAAGTTCAATTTCAAATTGAAAAACAAGAACTTATCATTTTTTTACGAGAATCGTTTTATAATATTGATGATTCTATCGTTAAAAAACGATATCCTTTTTTAATAAATAATTCAGCCATTTTTCTTTGGATTTTTAATTTTAATTTCAATTTCATTGCAATTTCAATGAAAAAATCTTTAAAAAATCGCAAACGCCTCAGGATATTGCGAGAATTTTCGAGATATAAAGAATCCCTTACCTTACTCAACTGCTCCAAAGTGTACTTGAGGATATCTGGGTGGGTGACCTGGAGGAACGGCTCCAGGAACTCGATATCCTGGCATCGACTCAAAATGCTCTTCAAAGTGAATTTTATTTTCAGTTTCAAGTCCTCAGAGCTGTCGTTGGATCTGTAAAGCTAAACCGAAAGATAAATTACTAATAAATTAATATTCACAGATATAATCACATCATCCGATGAATAGATCATTAATATAAGATCAATAAATCATGGAGATCCACCGATTTATCAATATTAAAATATAAATGATCAATTTTTCAAATTTTAAATATAAATTCAGTCAATTCGATGTTTTAATGTGTTTTTTTCACATCTTCCTGATTTTTGTGTCTTTAATTCGCACCTGAAGAAGCTTGGGGAAGATGTTGGTGGCAGCGACAGCTTCTGCATGTTCCTGGCTGTGTTTTCCAATCTGCCCCAGTGCCCAGATAGCAATGGAAATAATCGAAGGATCATTTTCCTCATTAAGAATTAATGACAGCTGAGAAATTCCCCCAGAGCTCGCGATCATGATGGCACTCTGAGCTGAATGACCTGCCATGTAGCCAAGAGCCACCACACCAGGAAGTCTCGTCGATGATTTCGTGTTCTCCAGGAATTTAATGAGAGATTCAATTCCACCAGTATTAACAACCAATTGCGATAACTGAGGAATAAAAATAAATGACAAAATATTGAAACAAGACGTCAACAATTTGAAGGAATGATTAATAATTTTTTAATGAATTTTAGGGAATTACTTCTTGACTGTGTTTTATGATTTCTCGTACGAGAACAGCTGCGGCTTTTCCCACGTTCTCGTCGTCGTGCCCCAGGTGTACCAGAACTTGGGGAAATATATCAGCTTCAACGACAGCTTCTGCTAGTTCTGTCGAGTGTCTGCTGATGTTGGCGAGGGCATGGAGTGCCTGTCTCTTCAATTTACCATCAGAATTCTGGATTGATCGAGCCAAAAAGGATATTGCCCCGGAGTTGATCACCAATTGAGCCAAATTCTCCGAGTGCTTGCTGATGTCGCAGAGGGCGGATGCACTTATCTGCTTCAGGCAGATATCAGACTCCTGGAGGCACAGGACGAGCAGGGGAATTGCACCTGAAGAATTCATTATATCTCTCTTTAAAAAATTTCTAAATCCCATAATAAATAAAAATTCATAGATAATTCATCAATAGATGATTAATTGATTGATTAAAGCCTCATTTTTTATATTCAATTTAATTTAGAAAATTTTATCTATTCGAAAAATGAGGTGGGACGAAAATTCATCAGTTAATGATCTTTTGAATTTTTTTGGAGGTGTTTTTTTTTTAATATGATATTGTTGTTTAATTTGTTTATAAGTACCAGCATTTGCCACGATTTCAGAAAGACTCTTATCGTGTCTTGCAATATATCCGGTGGCCCAAGCAGCCGCTTCCTTCACTCCGGAATCAAAATCATCCAGACAAATAATAATAGTCTTCAATCCCCCAGCCTCCACCACCCCTCTGGCCATCTCCATCGAGTGTTTCGATACAGCTCGTAACACAAAGAGAACAGCTTTTTTCAAGAATTTCTGTAATTAAAGAAATTCAAAACTTTCTCATCTCCTTGGCCACCGCACAACGAAGAAATTCAATAAAAATTACAAAAACCGTTTTGAAAATTATCAATTTCTGCAGAAAATCCGGAAATTCATTCAGAGAATGGGAGAATATTTTTAAACAAATTATAAATAGTTTTAAATTGAGGATCTGCACAATTTTTATTGGATATTTCTCCGCGTGCTGCTTTTTTATGCAGAATTTTACTTTGAGCTTACATTGTAATTCGTACGTTTTGCTTATCGATATTTTTAATCAACCCTGTTATCACGTTTCTTTTGATTACGTCCTCGGCAAGGCGAACATTGAAATTGACTAGTCTTCCTAGGGCTATCACTGCGTGCTGCTGGACCGAGGGATTTTTGTCAGTGAGAAGCGGCTCCAGGAGGTTCAGAACTCCAGCTAATTCCAGGGCATTTATATTCTCAGGTCTCGATGCCAAGTCTGATATTGTTTTTACGAATGTCAAACGGGCGATTTGGTAGTCATTGAATGCTATTAAAAAAATTATTACTTCATCAAAAAACTAGTTAATGAGTAGCAAAACCAGTTTTTTACCAATTTATCTAATTATCTCGGTAATGTGCAGAATTTTGAAAAAAAAGGCAATAACATTTTTTGAGGGGAATTTCATCGGCTATGAAAAAGTCTTCTGACTTTTTTCTCTTAGTCTAATTGTTTTCGAGGTAATGAGTAATCCATGTATTCATTTTTTTTCGCTCAGTCATGCGCTCATGCTAATTGTGCAATTATCTCGTGAATAAGTGGATTTTTATTGACAAGTAAAAAGACATTTTTTTTCAAGAATTTTTCGAGCTACAAAAAAGTTAAATAACATTTCACTCTAAATCGAATTGCTTTCGAGATAATCGGTTGTTTAGAGAATGTATGTTTAGTAAAGAAGTTGATAATTAATTGATAATTAATAGATAATTAATTGATTTGTTTACTGTACCTTGTAATATCATTCGTCCCGTCATTGCGATGAATTTAATGATCGAATGATGTGAAAAATTCGGAATTGCATTGAAGATTAAATAAATAGCGGGTCTCGTTACACCACCGGTTGAGTCCTTCCTAGCAACGCCATAGCAACAGTCAATTGTTTATGATAGGATCATTAATGGATGAATAATTATTTCAATAATGACGGGAAATCTTTTGACGAGGGAAAAGGAATTTTATCGGATGAATAAAGAACTCGATGAGGAAACGAAGGAACTCATGAAAGAAATCGATCAAGTGACTAAATCGAAAGAGTCTTTTACATTTAAATCGCAGTTTCCTTCAGCATTCGACGATTTTTATGCCCAGTATCCTCTCCACAGCCCCCGAGAAGAGTAAGCAATAATTACTAATAATTGAACAATTATAATTGAGCAGAAATAATTAATTGCTGCCATTTAAAATTCAGGAATGAAGAGGGACAGTGTAACAAGTAGATTTCGCTGATCGGTAAGTTTTTGAGGATTATCTGTGAATCTAAGACAGATACGGGATTTTTTGTAGAACTTTTTTTGTAGAGTGGGATATGGGGAATATAAAATGTTTTAACGAAAATTTTGGTAATTCTATTAGATTCATTGGTAATTCACGAAAACGTAATTAACGAAAAGGTAAAAAGTGAAGAGTTGAGTTAATTAATGGGTGCAATTTTGGGAAATATCTCGGAATTTAAGAGAGATAACGAAATTTTTGTGAAGACCTTTTTTGTCGCTCTCATTTTAATGCACAAAAAAGATCTTGAGGAAAATTTAGCTATCGCTCTTGGATCCGGAGATATTTCTCGTGTATTCTCGTTACAATGTAATTCTTGTTTCAGAAAAAAAAATAATGCACTGGCGTGCGATGCAGAATCAATTCTGTCACCAAAGCCCGATAACTCGAAAAACGAAGCGGTTATCCGAGTTCTTCAGAAGAAAATCGAAGGTCTCACAACGGAAATTCAGACGATGAAGGAAGAGTTGAAAAAGAGTACGAGTCGTTGCAGAGATTTGGAGGCAGAGAATCAAAGAATTTCAGGAGTGAAAGATAAACTCTACCACCAGAACAATTCGCAGAAGGAGACGATAGCCAAACTAGACGTACAGGTAAATCATCTCCAGGGAAATTCCCAGGAACAAATGCAGGAGAACGAGTCTCTGAGGAAGGTACATCGAAAAAATAATTTCCATAATTCAACTAATAAAAAATAAATGGCCAGAAAAAGTTTGAGAGATTTCAATTGGTCTCTATTTTCTCCAGGAAATTGATTCCCTGAAAAGAGAAGCCAAACAGCTGAGCCAACAGCTGCACCAAGTTGATCTGCGTCTGACCCGATCTCTGGAAGAAACTGAGAAGCTGCGATCATCCTCGAGGTGCAGTAAAATCGAGGAAAAGGAACTCAGGGCCGAGATAAAAAAGCTGAAAGACAACGAGAAAAATAACATCAGAAAAGTGCAGAGGCAAAAGGCAGAGATCCTGCAGGCGTTCAAAAAACAAATTCTCCTGGTGGACAATCTGAAGAAGCAGAAGGCAATGCTCGAGGTGTCGAGACAGGTTGAACTGACTCATCAGGATCTGTTATCGATATTAAATTGGAAATCTGTTGGGAATTGAGACAATGGGAATCTTTTCCTCTGATCAGTTCAATTTTTTTCACTAGAAAGTTTAATCAAGAGAAGAAGATTCCCAGAATCAATTATCACTCGATTAATATTAACACTTAATCCGACTATCCAAGGGTGTAAACAAAATCAGTAAAAAAAATATCAGGATTTATAACGAAAATTCTCTATTACAATCTCAAAATAATATAATAATGGTTAGTGACACCGGTCGTCTTCATTTCATTCCCCCTTCTCAACTCGTGGTCCTCCAATTTTCACTCCCCAAAAATGAGAACTAATATCAGAAAATGACGGGTTCCACATTTATTTCCATCCTCCAATAATAAAAAAGGAACTAAACAAATTTTAAATACCACAGTGAAAACGTTCGAACGTCGTGTGAAGTCTTGCAAAGATTTAGAACAATCTCCTCAAAAATTTTCATCACTACCAATCGCTCCATCAAAAAATACCGACCATTTCCACCCCGAATTGATTATTCCTTTATCAAAGAGATCTGGAGAATGTTATTTTTTCACCGTTCCTCCTTCCACGTTAACAGAATAGAACAGAACAGATTTACGTGATGATGAACTAAGAATAACCAGAAATTGTCGCAGCACTCGACAATCCTGTCCGACATAAAGAGAACATTCTCGTGACATTTTTCATCCTCTATATCATGTCTGATCATTCGTTATTAGGTTTGTTTTTTTTTTATTTTTTAATGGAGAAAGATGATTTACGAGTCATCGGCAAATCATGCCAAGTAACTGTACGTGTCTTTCTGGCCCTCGGTCCGCTCCAGGTATTCCTTCTCGATTAAAATATCTATGCATTTCTGAAAATAAAATAATAAATTAATAAAACAATACGATTGAGCAATAATTTTATATATTTATACAAACGGCTTCTCTCACCTTAATTACATGAACTCTCGGCTTAAACCTTGAATTCAACTGATTCAGGACCTCAGCGACGAGTTGCTGGTGCTTGAGGACTTTCCTCATCTTCATTATTCTCACGATTGCTGCTTGTATCAGGAGTTTACGATCTTCCTCAATGTGTTTGTGAGTGGTTTCCTGCTCAACTTTCAATTCTGTTTTCATGGGGATATTGATATTGACCCTCAATTTTTTACTGGAAAAACCAATGCAATTTAATAAAGATAATTGATTGAATTAATACCATGATTAAAAGGAATAATTGAGCTCACTTCTTGTACCCGGAGAACAACTCAACATTGCTCCCGGCATTGAGCTCAGTCTCATCCTCAACGGCAGCAGTGAGTAGCTTAGCCTTAAGTAGAATCTGCACAACTTGCACCAGAAAATCCATCTTAATCTGCGTGGCGTCATGCAGCTGTTGTATCGTCCACATTGTAGCAGCATTGTACTGCAACAAAACAGCCATCTGGAAGGTAGACGCCTGGAGTGTGTATCTATTTTTAAAACAATTGGTATGTAGCTCTCCCTTGCTCATATTGTACAACCAATTGAGCTTTCTGCCGCTGTGCTGGGAGCTGTAAAATGTTGTAAATCTGTGAACAGATCTCTCGAGCTCAGTGGGCAGTGAGAAAGTGAATGACTGCTGAAATGGCCACGATCCAGATGATAACACTTGAATACTAAAATCAATATCGAGTGGTTCAGCTGAATTAGTCAGATGCCTCCTGAATGCCTCATTGAGATCCTTGGATACACCGATGTCCTGGAACATCCTCTGGAGTTTTGAGGTGTACTCGAAACCACATGCCTGTTTCAATTTCGAGATCATCGATGCCTCGGCATCATCACTGGCTGACATGTGCTGAACAAGCCTCTTAGCCAACATTTTACTGTAGAATTTTTGAAACACATCCTTATCCTCGATGTACTTGAATACAACCATAACCTGGTTGAGGGTGTCCTCGAGCTCAGCCTCCTCTGGATTTTTACTGCTCTTCTTCAAGAGAAGATCGCAGTACTTAGCGAGCAACTCTGGCGATTTGCTGCTGCTGTTGGCAGCTCTCGTCACTGAATTGCTGTTTATGAATCTTCCGCACGCTTTGTCAAGTGCAGCAACAAAACCCGAGTCATTGCTGAAGGCCACGAGAACAAGGGCATTGTATTTTTTATGCACCTCGAGAATAGTATTGACGTAGACTTTTGGATCGTTAGCAGCTGAATCGCCACACTTGTCGATGGCAGCGAGACCCTGATTGGCAATATGTCCCTCGAGTAAATTTCTCAATTCACCCAGGCCATTTGGTATTCTCGCTACCAGCTGATACATCCTACCGAGGTCGTTATTCTTGTCAGCATCGAGAAGATTCTGAAATTCCGAGTGAAATATGTCAAGATGTTTCTCGATGAGAACTCGTTCACATGTTTTGGCGAGTCGCTCGTGGGTCGTCTGATGGAGATAAACTTGAACTCTTTTCTGTTCCTCAAGCAATCTCTGCTCAGCCTTCTTCATGTACTCAGTGACTGGATTTTGCCTGAGAAATTCCGAGCTCTCGCGGGTGTAAAATCTTTCGGTGTCCTCAAGAAAAACATTCTCAAATGAGTCTTTGTAGACAGTGAGATTAGCCCCACGTGCACCAGGATCCTCCTCATTGAGCCCAAGCTCGACGTAACAATTTATAACACCCGAAACAAGACGTGTATTTATTGTCTCACCATTTCTCTCTCTCTCGATGAGTTTTAACACAGCATTTGTCACTTGTCGATTGAGATGTTTGAAAAGATTGTCACGCCAGGTGACCAGGGCCAATTGATAAATTTCGTAAATACCCTTGCGGCCCTCCTCGCACTCTCGACGAACCCAGTGACGATTCAGGTACGCGCAGACACCATTCAGTACTTTTGAACTGAACTGGTATTCCTCCCACTGTCTAGTGTAGAACTGCAGGACATCCTCGTCCATCAGGTCAATACCGTGTTTCAGGAGACTTATGAGGTAACTCCTGAGAAAATCGCGGAGACGTTTGTAAAGCTCAAGACCAACCAGCTGAGCACCACCCGATATCTGTCCCCTTTTTGTCTTTGTCGTGCGTGTCACCTGTTGGTGAACCGATGTACAGTAATTGTATACGTGGGTGTACAGCTCGATGTAACGGGGCTTTGACATGCACTGGCGATTGTACACCTGCTCTATACCCTCCCGAAGATCACCCCAGATCTGGTCCAGGTCGATCTGCTTAAGACCTGGGGGAGCACCGTGCTGACTTCGAATACCCACTGTATTCGTTGACATCCTGATGTCGAGGCTGGATCTGCCGGGGGTGGGAGGACACTCGAGTGGTCGTTACTGAGATGATTCTGGGAATATTAATAATAACTTTTACGAAACAACATTCCAAGTATTGTTGTTCTTATTTTTTTACCTAATTAAAAATAAAAAATTGGGGCTTTGCTCGGTTTTTTAATCAATCCTCTTGGAATTATGTCACTCCTCTCTTTACGACAACGCAAAATGTGAGACATAACCTCTTTTATTTTTATTAAAAAAGAAGTATTAAATAAATTAATGGGTTTAAATCGATTGTCGGAGTGACGTGGTATATCCTCAGGAATTTATTTCAATGACGAACCTGTTTTGGATGAATATTGCTTTTATTGGTTTCCTATTGAATTTATTTTTAATAAATTATTCATTAGCCTGAGAGAAATAGTTTAAAAATTGTTTATCCCCAATCGAGACGGACATATCTGATAAGATTTAAAATAGGGGGATAATTCTCCTCCAGGGGATGATGATCTTGCATACGACCTTGGATAGACTCCAATAATTATGGATGAATTAATTTACCACGAAGTAACTGCAAAATTAAATTAACAATTCCCAATAATCTGGTGTGTAAAAAAAAGAGAAGAAATAATCTGATGAAATTATCAATTCACTGCGATAATCCCAGGTAAAATAGATAATTAAAATTTTCTACTGTATCACCAATTCCTCCAAAAAATTTTCGATTCGAGTGATTCGCTGTACCAACGAAAATAAAAAAATGGAGGAGAAATTGGAGACAAAGGAGGAGAAAAAATCGTGAGGATATCCCTTTCCCTTCACCCAATTATTCTGATTATTTCTCTCCTCGTGGTGTACGTACTCCATTATTTACAGGATCATTAACACACGTCCATTGATATAATCTCGACACAGAGGCTCTTACATGATACATATGAGAATACATAGAGATACATAATAAAATTGGACATGTGAACGATGCATATAGAGTGACGATGATTATTTTAACCTGAGAGAAGTCCACATATGTCTTATCAATGGATTCCAGTGATCTAATGTGCAATTATCCAGAGGCTTGGTAATGGTATGTACTGGTGAGTGCAATTAATTGCAGATTTATTGAGACTGACCTGCTGATGCTTTCCGATACATAACAGCCTGTGTACCTTGACAAAATGAGTCGTCGTACGTTTTTTTTTCCACCGTCTAGGCGTCCCAGAGCCAATGACTTTTTTTTCTTCGTTCCAAGAGAATTTCGGTTGATGATTTACTACTGGCGGCCAACGAAACAAAATGAAAAATAAATAAATTCGTACAGACGTGGGGTAATTTCAATGGTTATGCTATTCTTGGGGCTTTTGTTGTGCCAGTGGAGGCTGCAACCATCGAGGTTTGCTGTTGGCTATCACTTTTGTCCACTTTGTTCTTTTTTGACAGGTTAAGTCGATGCCATCGCCACAATCGCCATTGGGTGGCAACTAAAATGGCGACGGTGGCGCACGTACCGCCAATTTTCAAATGTCAATCCGATAAATTTATACGAGTTATTAAATTATTTCATTGCAGACGAATTAATTAATCTAATTAATTCACTTAAAAACCATGAATGATCTTTTTTTATAATATTTTTAATATAAAATTGAGATAATAATTTAAATAATAATGATAAATTGAGAAAATTACTTTTTCTTTTGACGCAATGAAGTTGACAGTTATGATAATATATGTGCAATCACATAATATTTTTTTAAGTATTTCTGATAAAAGTGTAATAATAATAATGACAATAATCGTTATTGATCCGATAATTAATTGTTTATAAAAATTGATGATTCCATTTTTCGAATATATTATCCATATCATTTCCATATTTTTTTTCCACATAAATATGCAGTTCAGTTAAATAAATAAATGAAGACAGTTGAAATTTTTTATTTATAAAAAATGAAATATATCCCATGAAAACGTATTGGTTTATTCAATTTATTTACATGAATTGCTGAAATGTTATAAATTACAGTTTAAAATTTGATGCACTCAAAAATCAACAATTCATCCACCAATTCACTCGATATTCACTCAATAAATAATTAATTGTTTATAACTCTGTGTGATGGGAGGGGAATTTCCGGAGGACCGCGACGTAGAGGTTGTAGAATGCGTAGACGCTTGCACCAACAACAACAACAAAAACAACACTGAAGATGAGGGATAGGAAATTGCCGTCGATGAGGTCCGTCCTGAGACGCTCATTCTTCGCGGCGATGTCCCCCAGGGTGTAGCCACTCTGCTCCTCCATCATCTTCTTGACGTGCGCTAATTTTTCTCGGAGCTCCTCCACGGACTCCGATATGTCCTCGATCTCCTCTTCAGCGTCCAGATCATTTATAACTGGTGGTTTTATTTCAGAGATTGTTATATTTATTTTTGAGAATTGAATTTTTATTTTGTACTCACTCTTGTGCTTGCGGTAGCAGACGTGGTTCGGGGAGACCATTGCGGTGACACGATGATGTATCAACTCCAGAGTTTTGGGGAGCAATCACGGGAGTATTGATCATTTCACATCAGCTCGAGGTGCGCGCAGACTCCCATTTGGTCCAGCCGAGGGCACCATTATTTAGGAATCAATTATCATTTTTTCGGGAATTTATTGCCTGCGTCAACCCATGAAAATCCACGTACCAATCATGTTTTTGATTATTCGATTTTTTATGAGTTTTGCAAATTAAAAATAGTCATCCCATAAAAAAAAACAAACATTTCCTCACAGTACGATAATTACAAAAGTTATAAATTTTGAAATTGATGACTTGGAATCGATTCTATATTTTTAAAAATCGATTTATAATGAAAATCATTCCTCCGTAGATCTTCCCAAACGCGGGAAAATGTTGAACAATAGTTTAATTGCTCCGCGTAATATTATTTGAACAATCATGAATGATTCTCCCTAAAATAATTATTTTTACCGAAAATAATATTCACTAAAATCGGTAAAGAGACTGAAAAAATCTAGAAACAATCCTTGCTATGGATGATGTCGTATAATAATCATTAATAACAATTAATCTGCGGGTCCGAGGGAGTGGGAGATTCGAAAAAGGCCCGCGCGCCGCTCGTGCCGCGCCGCGTCGTTTCGTGCGCGATCGGCTCCCCCTACGTCACGATGCAAGATGGCCGCGATTATCGGAAATGGAGTAGTTGTAGAAAGAAACTGGGCGGTAGTGATACCCGTAGGTGTGTCAGTTCGGCGGTATTTCACGCAATTTATTTTCATTTAATCACCAAAACCGCGAGCATCCGCCCCGCAACCGCAAATAAACCCCCAATTAGCTCAAACAATTACCATAATTAATCCAATCACCGACCTCAGTGTGCAAAAGCCAAAAAAAAACCTCGGGCGAGTTGCAAAAACCGAAATCACCACCAAATACTTGGCTTTCTCCACGAAACACTTACCCTGGAGCAATAAAAACATCTCCAAATAATCGGATAATCACATTAATGAGATTAATCAACAATTGGGATAATTGAAACAATTCGAGTGGCAGTCGATTACCCGGAGTGAGTGAGAGGAATCGAAAAAAAAATCGGGAAAAACTCCTGGGCCAGTGAAATTCGAATAATATTAATCAGTGATTCGAGAGAATAAAATTGATAAAAATAGAAAATGAATGGGAAAATAGTGGAGTCGAGGAATAGCTGTGGGAAGAGACGACTGGAGATGTCAGTGGATTTTTCGGAGTCGGCATGAGACACCGGAAATATCGCCAACAGCTTCTGATAATGTTTTCAGTTTGAATAAAAAAAAGAAATGAAGTAGATAAATGGAGTTTTAGTGATTAATTTTGGGGGATAAATTTTGATTTTGATAGTGTCAGTGGCGCAATCAGCGCAACGCCAAAAAAATGTGGAATATGATGTGCGATGTGATGCCGACAATTGCTGAGGACAGCATTAGTCAGAGGAGTTCACAGTTCTCCGGGGAAGATGCTAATTTTGAGCAGCTCATGGTGTCCATGCTCGATGAGAGGGACAAGCTCATGGATTCCCTCAGGGAGAGTCAGGAAAGATTGCAGGAAGCTGAGGCCAGACTCCAGGATGTCGAGAAAGAAAGAGATGCCCTCAATCGACAGATGAATGCTAATATTCCTCAGGTAGTCAAATAATTGTCACAACAGTCATCTCCACGTACATTTTGTACTCCACAGGGAAGGGTGGGGCAAAATGAAACAGAAATTCTCAATTTCCATAATTTTTTTTCACATCATGTAAACAAAAAAATGACAGGTGGACGTCGGGCTGTTTTTTTTTCCCTCGGTATATACTGTTGTACTTCATAAACTTAATTGTTAAGAGAGAAATTGGTGATGGGTATAAGCAGTTGTTACTGAAGTTGTAACGAGGTAAGTTAACTTACCCGTTTCGTGAGTATCTCCGGAATTAATGGAGATAACGAAATTTTGTCTGAATCTTTTCTTCGGAGGTACTGGAGACCTAGAAGAATGGTTATTACGAAAAATTTTCTATCTTCTTTGGTTTCGGAGATATTTGGGAAAAATTCATCAAAAAAATTAGCAAGGAAATGAGTAAAAAAATATTGATATTGTTAGGCATCTTTTTTATTTAAAAAGATGAAGGAAAGACTTTTTCAATATTAAAATTCGGCGCCGTTTCATTTTGCCCCACCCTTTCGCCTACTTATTCATTTCGGTGTGCGTATTCTGTGGAGGTTTTGAATTTTACACTTTTCCCTCTTCGCCAAGAAACTTTTATGCAATTGAATAAATATTTCATTCAAATGCAATAAAATAAAGTAATCTTTGTTATAATTAATATAATTTTTACAAATTAAAATTTCTCGGAATTAAAAACTAAAAATTGTCTTTATCCGCGACCATTCAAGTTCTCTATTTTTTCTCTCAATTATAGCCTTCTATGATCAAAACTATTGATTTTAGGAGAAAATATCAAGAGACCGTTTTCAGAGAAAATCTAATCAGCTACGAGAAAGTCCTTTAACGTTTCCACCTGAAATCAATAGTTTTCGAGGTAAATCAATAGTGAAGCACTTCACCACTTCGCTACTGATTTATTTATGAGAAGCCAGTGTCTGGAATTTTTTTTTTCAATTTTCATCCCGCAATTTAATTGATTTAATACCAGGGCAGTGCAGAATTATTAAAGATAAAATGGTGTTTATTTCTTGGATGGGGGACTAGTTTTTGTCGAATGTGTGGAAATTCTCAGAGAATTATTCAGTTTTTAATGGATACATTGTTTTTTAATGGATACCATTTTCACGGAAATTGATGAAATCCTATTGTAATTCCTGCTTGTAATTCTAGTTGCGTGTTGGTGGGAATTACGTCAGTACTTTGTAGACATGATGGGTTATTAGAGTCGCAGCTCGATGCACACATTCACCTGTTTGTCTATCAGCAGAGGTGAAATATAAATTCAACGGTGGAAATAGAATTTCTGTTGGAGAAAACAACTTCTCAATTTTTCTCGTTATCTTGTTTTGATTTCAAATTATCTCATATCTCTATTTTCTGGGAGGCTCGTGGGGATTTAATCAATTCTAATAAAGCCTCGTAAAACTAACAGAAAAGATAATTAAATTTTGTAAATCACTCGTAAACAAAAGCAAATTTTTCCAGTCCTCTGATGAGTTTTTTTTCGAAATATCTTAGGAGTGACGAGAGATAGCGAAATGTTTGTGGGACCTTTTTTCTGGCTCTCACTCTACTCTACAGAAAAGCCCCTGATAATAATTTCGCTATCTCTCCCCAGTTCCGAGATATTCCGCAAAAACTGGACTGGCGAAAAGGTGAAGGGTAACCAGTTGATTTAGTTGTGACAAGATTTCAGGGAGTATCACTGAAATGCCGAAATTTTTGTCAGAACGTTTTTTGTAGATATTTTTTCACTCTACAAAGCAGGTCCTCACAGATATTTCGATATCTCTCTTAGTTTCGGAGATATCTCCGAATAAGTCTCGATAAAACTCAGTCAACTCTTCGTTTCACCACTTCCAGTCCTGAATTGTAATTGTCATTGTGATTGAATTTACGAGACAACTGGGGATGATAAATGGTAGCCAATTTATCGAGGTTGATGAACGAAGTTAGTTGAATTATAGCACGAAACAACTCTCATCTTCCGGTCAATTAAATCAGCTCTCAATAAATAATCAATTGCCCTTGACGTTCTCACTGCTGTCACGAGGAAAAAAACTCTCCAATTTTCCGAGATTTCGGAAATGATTACAATTTAGTCTGTCCTCCTCCGAGAATTTTTCATTTTTTTCCTTTTGTTTTTCCTCTGTCGTCTGCAACTATTGTGACCCCATGGCCTCAAGCCAAATGAATACAGGTTCAATGCCCTGTGGCGAACGAAAAAAAATACTCGGGAAATGGAAAATCTGAATTTTTTACGACATCGTAATAATTATTGATTTTTCATCTTTTTATTCTCGACCCCTTTTTCCTCCTGATGAAAACTGGAGCAAATATTCGAGTGAATTGAGGGCTGATTAGTCCTGGGGTGAGATTGAAGGACGTGGAAAGGGGCCAATTTGCCACTGAATTTATCCTTCAGGTTTTTACTAGTCGAGTCACAGCAGGAAATTTAATTCACCAGTGAAGAGGTAACAAGTCAACTTGTTCCTTGCTCGACTTTTCGACGGATATCTCAGGATCTAACGGAGATATCAACATTTTTTTTAGGACCTTTTCTCCAGAGTCGGAGAAAAGCTGCAAAAAAGACATCAATAAAAATTTTGCCATCTCCCTTAGACTTCGAGATATCTCCAAAAAGCTTATCTAACAAGTAAAACGAGTTATTGCGCTCCACCCTCTTGTTGATCGAGATTTTGAGGGATATATCTCGTAATCCAAAAGACGTACCAAAATTTTTGTTAAGAACTTTTCTGTAGAGGGAAGCCCGAGCTACAAAAAAGATTCCACAAAATTTTTCGTATCTCTTCGGGATTTGGAAATATTCTCGTAAAACTGAGATATTATCTCAATGGACGTCAATTTTTTCTTCTTCTCTCAATATTCTATTGTCACAATAAATACTTCAGCAATTGACACGACAAATGGTAGGTCTTCTTCAGGATAAAAATAATTTCTCCCTGAAGGTGGAGCATTGTTAATCGTGCACGAGGATTAAACTCCTGAAGAGCTCCTCGAAAATTTTCAAATGCAATTGAGTTCAACTCCTCTTCATTAGTCACAAGTAATTATCCTTTAAACTTCATGACGAAGTTGTGCCATTCCCTAGTTTTCGGATAGAAAAATCCAGGGAATGACTAAATCCAGTTGTTTATAGTCCGTTGACTCGGAGTTTATGGGAAAGCCATTGGATAGTAAAACGTGTTGGATTGACATCACATCCTGTCCTCACACTCTCGTCACATTGTAATTCATGACTTCCTGATACAATTGAAGGCCAGGTATCGAATCACTCGTGGCAAATCCTATTGTTTCTCCCCCATTGCCATTAGAAACACAAAGAGAAACAAAATTGATAAATTACATCAATCCAAAATTGTCTGTTCACTCTTCATTGATTCACCTGCGAATTCTCGTTAATTATTTCTTAAAACCATTAAAAATCGAAAATTCAACCAAAAAGTTTTCATCTATTTCATCCACGAAATATATACGAAATTTTTCATCAAAAATATTTTCCCATTCTGATTTTATTTTTATTCATTTAATTCCGGTAAGAAATTATTAAGAATCAGATATTCAATCAAATAACTCCAAAATCATTGGAAATTATTTGCCAAAGTGGAATCGCCAATTCAATTAATGCGGATGACAGAAAATTTTGATATGTAAATGGGAATTTGAATTACATGGATGGGTATTTACCTGGAGAATGTGCAATTGGTTGTGTGTGTTGAGGGGAAATTGGGGGTGAGGTTGGGGTTAGATGGAGAAAAAAAATCTAAGAAGAGGGAAAAAGAGGGAAGAAAAATAGTGGGACGAAAACCCGGGTGCAATGTACGGTTGGAGAGGAGTCTGACCGATCAATACCCCACCTACTCACTGGGCGCATGAATGAACCTCACCTTATAGTACTCCCTCTTTTCCTCCCTCTCTTTACCACCACCACCATCCTCCCCCCCTTCCACTTTCTTCCCCCTCCCACTCTTTTGGACTCTCATTGGATCTGTTTGTACATGGGCTTGCTCCCATTTACGCACGTACCTGAATTTTCAACGGCTTTTATGTATCGGTCTGGCATGTGTGTAACGAAAAGTTGTAACAATGAAGTTGTTGGGTAGAGGAAATTGACTGGAATTTTTTAGGAATTCTTTTATTTTTGGGGATGTGGTTTTTTGGTTTCCGTTATTTGGGAATTCGTGTCAACAATTTTGGGGGTGAATATTTATTTATATTTATTTTTGATTGGTTGGTTCTGAGGATTTTTTTTATTTTTCGGGAATTATTGGGAATCATTGGAATGATATTTGATTTTTGGAGAGAATTTTGAAATTTCCATCATTTATTCATGAAATTTTGAGTTTTTAAAAACAAACTCGAAATTTGTAATGGGTATAAATATAAAATTCCAACTGATCTCTGAAATAAAATAAAATAATAAAATAATAAATAAATTGAAGTAAATTACACAACGAAAATGAACTCATGGTGAAGTCATGAATTAAAATGAGAGAGTTTACTCTCGAAAAATCATTAGCTGAGTCTCGATGAATTTTTACTCATTAGCGTGTGGAATTCACTTCCCACTTTCGTTTCTCGGAATGGCGTAGGACTTTCCCTTCTCGTAAACTTGAAACTTGATGGGAAAAAATATTTGAATCGATGAATCGAGGAATGGAAATTTGTTGCGCAAGTCATCAGCATCTCGGGTGGCAATTTTAAAATAGTTATGACAGTCACACCGTAGTATGTCACTGTGGAAACTCTAGCTGGAGTGAAAGGAACCCTCAAAGATGGATTTACATATTGAAAATTCAATGTTATTCCGCATTGGATTATTGTATTTCATCATCCATCGATAGAGACGATTGAATCTTCACAGAAATCAATTTTAAGGAGAAAAAACGCTTGTCCTTTCAAAATTCCCACGAATTTTCGCATTTTCTCTCATTTCCCTTAGATAATTCAATGGAAAAAGGAAATATTCGGCTGATTAATTAAAAAATATATTATATATAAAAATAAAATGTTTATATAATAAAAAAACATAAAGGAATATTTCAGAGTTGAAGTTGAAATTTCATATTTTTTAATACAATATTAAAAATAATTGATTTTCAAATGATTAAAATTTGAAATCAATCACAAATTGAATTGATTAATTATAGTAATTTAAATAAATAATTATTGAAGGAGTGATTAAAATCAATTTTGAGTGGTTGATAAAGAATAGAAAATGACAGATCCTTTTCCGTAAATATGCACATTTTTCCGGTGGAGCGAGCATCAGAAAGTTTCACGCTTTGAAAAATCTCCCTTATTTTTTTCTCTCCTCTTCCTGTGGGAAATTGCATTTGGAGCCCGCAGTAACGATTTCAAGCGTTAAGAAGATTTCGAGAGACAGCTAGTTAAGTTTCACGACGAGAGAAAGAACTAAACCCCGAAAAAAAAAAAGCCAAGAAAAAACAAGAAAAACGAGTTCCCTTTTTTCTCCTCGTACTCAACACGTACTAGATGCACAAAAAAGGGCTTTTAAAAATGAATAAACACTGCTAGTCAGATTTTTGAATGAAAAAAAAAAATAGGAAAAAAAGAATCATGGGATTTACTTGAGCCTCTGCTGAGCCCCAAATAAAACAAATATTCGAGTGAATAAAGATTAACTACTAATTGGAGAGCAGTTTGAGCTTTACGATTGCTTTTTCTTGCTTTTTCTCCTCTTTTTTTTACTTCCCCTTTTACTCCCTTTTTATTCGTTGCACAGGTTTTTAGGAGAGAATTAGCGATTCAAAATAAATACTTGTGTCGTAATAAACCAGAAAATCAAAGGAATCGAAATGCTGTTTATTTTTCTGGACAATTTGTTGACAATATTTTTTAAAAACATTTGCGTTTTTTTAGGTGTTTGTTTTTTTGGTGTAATTTAGTGGGAATTAATTCCTCGATATTTCAATTATTTACAGGAATTCTCGCAGTTGACGAAGGAACTCTCAGCAGCACGTGAAAATATACTCGAACGAGAGGAAGAAATATCGGAATTAAAAGCAGAACGCAACAACACTCGGGTAACGTCTGATTCTTACTTTTTCCTCCTTCTTTTTACCTTTTTACGTTTATTTAGGACTTTTTTCACAACTTTTTTTTCCCCTCAACTCTGGCTGGCTCGCCTTTCCACACCGTCTTCCTTGGCTGTTTCATTTTTTAACTTCACGGACCGCGAGACGAATTCTCATGGCTGGGAAGAGGCTATGAATTGTAGATTAATTATTCCATGAGTTAATATTACATTTTTCGGGGGTTAGAGACTGGGTTAATTTATTACTTTCAATTTTACAGTTTTTTCATTTTTTTAATATTAAAATATCCGGTTATTAAGCAGTACATCAATTTATTTCTCATTATTCTCAATAAATGATTCCATAATTTAATAATAACTTCAATTATTCTTTTTGTTTTTTAATATTTAATTGAATAATTAAGGGAGATAAATGAAAAATACTTGATTATTCTCATAATTAAATAATAATTTTTTTTTGATGGAGCAGCTTCTACTGGAGCATCTAGAATGTCTGGTGTCACGTCACGAAAGGTCCCTCAGGATGACAGTAGTGAAGAGACAAGCAGCAGCCCAGTCGGGGGTCTCGTCCGAGGTCGAGGTCCTCAAGGCACTCAAGAGCCTCTTCGAGCATCACAAGGCCCTGGACGAAAAGGTGCACTTTACCCCTTCAGTAACAAAAGCGATAGCGATGGGGGCAAATTCATACCCCAGACAGCAATATCGGGAGGGGAAAAGCCAATTGTAGATCTAATATTTTCTCTACTGAAACTTTCAGGTACGAGAACGATTAAGAGTTGCACTGGAGAAGAATACGAGCCTCGAGGAGGAGCTATCACGTACCAAAGACGAGGTGAGATTAAATGGCCTCAACTTTTCATTGGGGATAATTGATAGGAGGAAAATTTGGTTTTAATCGCTATTTTTATTTGTTTAAAGCTCCAGCAGTACAAAGCTGGTGGACATCTCAAGGCAATCGAGGACAGGCCCAAGGAAAATGGACAGGCTGATGATAATCAGGGAAAGGTTCGTGTCATTATTTCATGGGTTTTGGAAAATTTTAGGGAATTCACATCACACACAGGACACATGAGCACAAGTTGATACTGAGTCATGACAAGTTGTTTTTTCTTTTCGTTGGCATTTTTAATGATTTTTTTTTTTTGTGGATGTGTGAGAGTGTTGCATCAGTCATTTCGCACGGTCACTATTCTATTTTTTTCTGGATTTTTTCGTGAGATTTTGCGGAATCTTCGATTTTCTTTTATTCTTTTTGGAATGACCGTCTGGTTCGAATAGGGAAAATCATGGGATTATTCTCATTTCAAGAGCTTCATTACTTTTTTTTTCTTGTAATTCGGGGACGCCAGGGGTGAGGGAGAGTACAGAATTTTATAAAAATGTTAAACATTGCAAGAATTCCATAGAAATTATGAACTTATATTCTGTTTTCTCCATCGCACCGAAAAATCGTAATCAAATATTAATTCAGTATCGAAGATATAGAGTAAATCAATCTAATCACTATTTCTTTGGGAATATCTCCGAATCTAGAAGAGGCAGCAAAATTTTTATGAGAACCTTTTTTGTAGCTCACATCTAACTCCATAAATAATCTCCTAACGAGAATCTCGGTATCTGTCAAGGATTCAGAGAAATTTCCCGGAAATTTGACCAGAAAATAAATCGATCTGTTACCCTTTACTTCTTCGCTACTAAATTATTATTTTTGTCTGTTAAAATTGTAAAAAAAAAATAGTAGTGGCATGTTGAGCGGTGATACAAGATGGAATGTTGGAAAATGGAAAAAAATGGAAAAAAATGGGAAAAATGGGAAAAAATGGGGAATAATGGGGGAATGGGGAGAATAATCGTAGAAAAAGGGAGAGGGGATGGATAATTGTGGCAGGGGTTATTCTCAATGTAAAATAGCATTATGATCGGGCAGAATGAAACTGATACGACTAGCCAGGACCAACAGGAGGTGGTACCAACAGTTATTGAGTTTAATGATGAGAGGAAAATGGAGAGTGGAAGTAGACTGAGCAACGGTGGTCTCAATACCTCTGACCACGATTCGGCTGCACGTGTTATTGACTTGCAGTCGACTGTTGAGAAGCAGGTACGAATAATCATTGGGATAATGACAATTCCTAATTACTGAGAGATTAAGGGAGTCGATTGATCATCGAGTTGACGGACGTTATCGATAATAATGGCATTAAGACAAAATTGGAGGTTTTACATTTTTTGACTAATGGAGAAATTTCTTCGGTATTTTCACTGCATGACTCAACAAATTTATGCAAAAATATTAAACTCTTTGCACGGGAATAATCACTGAGTTATTATTATTTTTCTCTGGGATAAAGTGGCATTAATCGATTGTTATTAGTGATTGTATCGATATAGCATGTGGTGGAATGATTATAATTGTTCAATGTACAGAGTATTTTGGCATGAGAATTGTTAGTTGAATCTATAAAATTACACTGGAATATTAACGAGATAATTGAATCTCCTTTTTGTTTGAAATTATTAATTGACACAATTGTAATCAACACGAAACACAATTGAAGAATTTCGTTGTTACACGGATTGAAATAATTTCTTGAAGGGTGACTCGGAAAAAATTTCTGGTCAATGATTATAATAATAATTTCAGAGTGCTGAATTGGCAAATTGGCAGCGTCGAGTGGGTGAGTTGGGGGGTCGTGTGGCTGAACTCGAAGAGACCCTCTCCAAGGCTCAGAAGGATCTAATGAAGACGCAGGAGTCTAATGGAAAGCTGCAGCGAGATCTCAGAGAGAATGTTGCACAGAAGGAAGATCAGGAGGAGCGAATAGCGACGTTGGAGAAGAGATATCTAAATGCTCAGAGAGAATCCACCAGTCTTCATGATTTGAATGAGAAACTCGAGCAGGAGTTGCAGCACAAGGAGGCACAGCTCAAGGTAAATCCCAACGTTTATCATCATCTCGTTAATCAACGAATCTATAATTGTTTTCCCTTATCAACGAGTAGTCATTGTTGCTAATAAATTAGCGATTTGCTTTCGAATGGATTCATCAATACTTCATGTCATTAATTTAAAGTCATCAACATTTTTGCTGTTGGGATTAATTCTGTATCATTGATGAGAATTATTTATTAGGGGAATATCAATTTATTTGATGTGAATGAATAGAATTCATTGAAGTCATACGCTTCCAATTGAGAGCAAAAATTCTGCAATTATTTTGATTTCTGGCTGGAATGGATCATTGTTACCTCATTGTTAATTATATTTTGATAATTGAATAAAGCTGCAAGAGGAGAAGACAGCGGCTATACAAGAGAAACTAGAGCTTGCTGAACAAAAATTGGCCCAGTATCCAAAATTACCAGAGATGGAGGAGGAGCTGAAGGCTAGGATGGAGGCACTGACCCAGGTGAGGAGGCCCAATCAGGTACGCAGGGGAATCATATCACCACATCACACCATAATGTTCCTACATGTCTCCTCGATTAATTATATAATATATTTTTTTCATTTACCGATTATTCACTTTTTTATTCCACTTGAATTATTTATTAATCTCCTTTAGAGTTGAATGTGGTGTGAGCCTGTGCCTGTTTTTTTTTTATAACTAATTGTGTCGATAAATACTAACATACAGATCATTCATCATCATCATCGTCATCATATTTCTTTGATTTTTCAATTTTAGAAGACTCTTCTCTTAACACTAGGAATTTTTTAAACATCAATTATCAGTTTTTGACAGTCATATCACGAAGATCATATATTATCACATCAATTACAGATTCTCGAGAGCTAATCAGTGTTCATGAGCTGCTGGCTTGAATTTATTCGAATTATTCTCACGTTTTTTCATGATTTATATCATTTTTATTGGTTCATTATGAATTATTTTTCTTCATGCTTTGAAATTAATGCATTGCATGAATAGAATTAACAGCCACTCGACTGGAAATTCCAAATTTGTGAATAATTTTGGACAATTTATTGGAAAAATAATGTCAAAAGACATTCCATTGATTTATTAATTGTAGAGTTTACTCATTGGATTTTCCACGTCTTCCTGTGGCTAAATAATTTTTATCAATTAGATTAGACATGAATTAATGAATTTCATGTAGAACTGCAGGTGAAATTTTGAAGAAAAATGTTCAGAAAAGGTTCTAGGGACTTCACCATCATCATCACGCTCATCTCAATCAGAAGTTGATTAATTATTAATACAAGTATTTAACGATGAGTGAAATTTAAACAAGCAGGCACAGGAGAGACACGGTAGTGCTGAAGACAGGATCCAGAGACTCGAGGGACAGCTCGAGGAGAAGAACGCCGAGGTGATGCGACTTAATCAGCGTCTCAAGATGAATGAGGAGCACAACACAAGGTTAAGCAGTACCGTTGATAAACTCTTATCAGGTAAATCAATTAATTATCTCCCTCAATCGTTATAATCATAATTCATCAATTAGTACCTGCGAAGGTAAAATAAATAAAAAGCATCTTCCAGTGGAAAATTGACAATGCGAGCTTTCTCCCAAATAATTATTAATTAAAAATAGATCAATCGAAATAAAAATAATAGTACAAATTCGATAATAAAAAATGTCAGGTATTTTTGATTTTAATTGAACGTTAAAAAAAAATCTAGAATCGAACGAGCGACTTCAGGTCCACCTGAAGGAGCGCATGCATGCCCTGGAGGAGAAGAATGCTCTCACCCAGGAGCTCGAGAAGACGCGAAAAATAGCTGAGGACTTGCAGAATGAAAAATCCGAGATAATGAAGGAGCTGGGGAAAGCGAGATTAGAGATAGACAATGTGAAGAGACAGATGCTGCAGCAGGAGATAGCGTTCAATATACAGCAGACAGACGCCCTGACGAGGAGTCTCTCACCAAATGCCGTGGAGCCAGCTTCGTCATCCCGATCAGCTAGTCACAGCTCCTTCGACACCCACTCATTACCGAGAAGAGGTGGTAAACGACTCGATGACGACGGGACCAAGGGCTACGTGGCAAGAACCCTCGCTGAACAGGAGTGGGAGAAATTGCAGCAGGCGCACGTACTGGCGAATGTCCAGCAAGCATTTGATGTGTCATCTGATGCTGAGGGGGATGGTGATAATGAGAGTATATTCTCGTCAGCTGCTGATGTTATCAGTCCCAGTGGTCACACCGATGCCCAGACACTGGCTATGATGCTGCAGGAGCAACTCGATGCCATCAATATCGAGATAAGGCTTATACAGGAGGAGAAGCAGAGCACTGAGGCAAGGGCTGAGGAGCTTGAGAGCAGAGTTGGCAGTTTGGAGCATATGAATCTTCTGGCAAGGGGTAGAAGCCTCGAGAGGGCATCACCACCTCTCAGTGGAAGATCGACACCCAAGAGTCACCACAGCCCCAATAGGGATTATCTTCATAAGTATCATACGGTAAGAATGGCCTTGAAATTGACAGAGAGGAGAGGAATCTGGAAATTTTTTTGTCCTCTATTTTTCCTCTATAATGGCTATTTAAAATGATTAATTTTTTTTTAATGGATTTTTCGCGATTCCTCTCCTCTTCATCGTTAAGATAATATTTATCTCTTCGTAATCATCGACCCTTCATGTTTGTCTTCCCTTTCCATCAACCCTACGGTCGATCAAAATTAATGACCTGAGGCAAAATTTAAATTGAGGGATTTTTTTGAAAAAATTGGAGAAAATCGAGACGGTTTTGGATGTCCGGTGTTACAGGCACCTGCCTCAATGTCACCTGCCCATCTTCATCAGTATGCAGCTTCATTGGCAAGCCCAGGACAACTGTCCGAGTCACTCCCCGCTAGCCAGGTTCGTTCCTTCCCTGACATTTAAACAACAACCCAATGAGGATTGAACAGGAAATTTAAGGATGTTTAGCCATTTTCAGTAAATTACCTTGTTTCACGGTCAAGGAAATTTATATTTATATTCCTTTTTACACGAGATCCTTTTGACAAGAGATAGCGAAATTTCCTCGGAACCCTTTATATAGCATAAAATGAGAGCTATGAAAAAGGTCGTTACAAAAATTTCGTTATGTTGTTTAATTGTCGAGATATTTCATAGAAAAATCATCTAATAATGTCAACTTGTGTTTTTTTATCGATGTGGTACTGATTTGAGACATTTTATGATATTCGCGCATCATTTTTTAATGGTAAAAAGCGATTGATGAATGAGATTATGGAGGAAATAATTTCGGAGAGGAACAATAATTTTTTTAATACTTGCAATTGTGGATAAACATCTTTAATAACACTCGAACTTTTTTTGCTGATTCTTATGATTCTGTTGCTCATTGAGATTTATTTTTTGGGTTTAGCCTCTAGGCTGTGCTTCCAGGAGTCTTTTCACTGGTTTCGGAGGCCAAAATATTTTTTTTCCTCTGACAGGAGCTTAAAGAGAACTCGTTGAATGGAATAAAAAGACAGATTTTTCAGTTATTTACTGGTCTTGGGTTTCTGCAGGGTATCATCTCCTGAAAATTCACGTTTCTTATTCTATTACCATTGTTTCGATTTTTTCCAGCTCATTCCATTCAACCACAACCTTTTTTTTTTTGCAGAAATTTATTTCGAGGCTTTTGTAGTGAATTGGTGATTTTCATTTTTCCTTTCATTCGTTCTAATTTCGCAGACAATTATTATTATCGCTGCTTGGATTATATGAACACCTTCTCAACAGCCATACAAAATTTATAAACACTGACAGTTAAATAAATAAGATCGCATACGTAATTCAATAGTGAAGTGGTAAAATATCAATTCACCTGATTCGTTAACGTGAGAAATGTAATTATCTCGGTGATAAGTGGAGTTACGATGAAATGACTCGAGACTTTTTTATGAATTATAAAATTATTCTCAAACAAGTCTCATCTCATCGTCGACTTACCAGTAAAAGCGCGTAAGTCCCAACAAAAACGTTTCAACCATTGAAAAAATATAATAAATAAAAATATAATATAAATACATAATAAAATGGGACGTACGCCCCTTTGGCGTTGAGTGAAAGAAATAATATTCCACTTATTACCGAAATAAAATAGTTGCTATCGATAATTTGCCACTTCGTTATTGAATTCCATGAGAATAATGACCTCTGCCTGTGGCAGTTGCAGTTGTCTGGGGAGGAGTTGCACTCGGTTAGTGAACGAGACAGTGGAGGTGGTGGAAGTGGAGGAAGTGAAGCAGCATCACCACAAACAGCTAGATCATTGAGACTGGAGAGGGTTGTCCAGGCATTGGCGCACAGCCAAGAGGAACTCAGGAGGTACTTGATGTTATTAACTCTGTGATATTAAATATTCGATCGTTAAGAGGAATTTGAGGGCAACTTTACGAGATGCCGATAGGCGATTATTACCAAATTCGATTAAATTTTCATTAATTATTTATCGATTTTTAATGTTGCTCTCATATTTCACGTGATGTGTCCTTTAATAACTCCAAAAACAGAAATAACTCTTAATTAACTCATTAACCGACACATTCCCCTCATCCATCGTACTAACAGGCGCACCGGACAGAGCGGATTTCCAAGTGCCGGTTACTCCACTCACAGGTTAATTAATTATAATCGTTAAGCATGCCAATCGTCATGCCACTGGTGTTGGATATATTTTAATTGAGTTATTCCGATATTCAATGCTGTGGCGCGATGATTAATTCAGGGAATATTCGTTGCATTAATTGAGGAGTTGATTAATGAATGAAATAAGAATTTCTACTGCAGAATATTGCGTAGCAACGAGTAATCTCGTGGATAAAATGAGAATACATAGATGAATAGATCGTAGAAAAATAGAAACTAGATTAGCGCTCGTGCTAGCAGGCATGGGCATCATAACAACGGCACACTGAATTCTGGAACACCACCTTCACCATTGTCTTCACGTCATAGTAGCCAGGACAGTTTGCACAAGAACAGTTTTGGAAATGTTGGTCTACCATTTGGACAATTGTCGAGCTCTCATCTGCATATGCAATCAACAATGAGCCCAGCGACAGCAGCAGCTGTTGCTGCTGCACAGAAGAAGAAGGGAATCAAGAGCAGTCTTGGAAGATTCTTCAGTAAAAAAGAGAAGGTGAATTTTTCTGTTTTATTTTTTGTATTTCTTTTCTGGCCTTTCCATGGAAATCAACAGTGTGAACAGAATTAATACGAATTATTTATTAATTTCTAAGATCAAGGGAAAGGACACCACGATGCCTGGAGATGTTCCAGGAATGGGAGGGGCTTGCACTCCAGCTGATCCAGATTATGGGGACAATGTATCAGTTGCTGGGACCCTAGGAGGAAAGAGTGATTTCGATCGAAGGAAAAAGAAGAGGTGAATTCCTCTATTTTGAATATTAAAATTTCATTCTGAATGAAATTCTATATAAATTTCTCCTTAAATATAATTTCACCTAATAGTGACGACGATTCTTATGCAGTTCGATTAAAAAATCGTATTATCGATTAAAATGTCAGTATTATCCCCAGTATGTTGGACTCATCTCGTCACGAGCTGTTGGCTGAGGCCATGAAGGCAGGTACACCGTTTGCCCTGTGGAATGGACCAACAATAGTTGCCTGGCTGGAGCTGTGGGTTGGCATGCCAGCCTGGTACGTTGCAGCCTGTCGTGCCAATGTAAAAAGTGGTGCAATTATGTCAGCACTCAGTGACACTGAGATTCAACGTGAAATTGGCATCAGCAATCCCCTCCACAGATTAAAATTGAGGCTTGCAATTCAGGAGATGGTGTCCCTTACATCCCCATCCGCACCAAAAACATCAAGAACAACACTTGCTTTTGGTGATATGAATCATGAGTGGATTGGCAATGTTTGGCTGCCAAGTTTGGGACTGCCACAGTACAGATCGACATTTATGGAGTGCCTTGTTGATGCACGTATGCTTGATCATCTTACCAAGAAAGATCTCAGGGGACAGCTGAGGATGGTTGATAGCTTTCACAGGACTAGTCTGCAGTACGGTATATCTTGTCTCAAGAGATTGAATTTTGACCGGCAGCAACTCGAGGACAGGAGGAGAATGGCTGAGGGGGCAAATGTCGATGTTATTGTCTGGAGTAACGACAGGGTTATCAGATGGGTACAATCCATTGGCCTCAAGGTAAATTATTCAATTGATCATTTAATTATTTTAATTATCCCATCTGTCTAAAAATTGGTGGATAATTTTTCGCAAAGGCTCACGATTGGAGTTTCATTTGAATTCAGTTGATTCAGGGAATTCTTTTCAGGAATATGGGAACAATCTCTTGGAGTCTGGAGTTCATGGTGCCCTCGTGGCCCTCGACGAGAGTTTCGATGCCAATGCGTTTGCCCTCACCCTCCAGATACCGACGCAAAATGTTCAGGTAACCTTCATATTCGAATTGTTGAGACTAATTTCAATCCATGAATTTTTTAAATCATTCATTGTCATTGGGAAAAAAAATAATTTTGTGATTGCAGGCAAGACAAGTCCTCGAGATGGAATTCTCGAATTTGCTGACAGTGGGTACTGAGAGGCGATCAGAGGAGAACAGCATCAAATCCTGATCAAACCCACCCCCTAGGCCATTACCACGTCATCAGCCCCATCACGTCTAGTCCAATCCTCAATCCCAATCCATTTTCATGATGTAACTGTGAGTAAGAGAGCTTTAATTGTCCTTTCAATCATTCCAAACATTATTATCTTGAATAATCACCAGATAATCATCTCCCGAGCTTCACTGATTCACCTGAATGAATCAAAGTTTCCCTTTCACGTTGAAAAAAAAAATAATAAAAAATGACACCCTGGAGTTGATTAATGTCCCAGTAACTGGGAGACGAGAATAATAATTTTTAAAGTGACAATAATTCTGTCTGGCTCGATTCCCAACGATTGTCCAATATTATTTTCCTCATCGTCATATTGTACTTATGACACAGTCAAACATCACAACCGCACAAAACATAATGGACGAATAAAAAAGCATGATGATTTTTTTGATACCCAGTTGTGGAGTAGATAATGAATTTTGTTATGATAAGTGAGGGATTACTGAGATCAGAGGGTGAGGATTAATTGATCCATGGTATTTAGGAGGAAAATTAAGCACTGAATGTCGATGGCATGACTATTCAGATGCTTTTGATTTTTTTTTCCGTCGGATATTTGTACCCTCTGATTAATTATGACGATTAATTAACGCTAAGGGAGCTTTAAACACCGACTTGAACTTATTCGAATCAACTAGTGTCGATTTTATACCTTGACAGAATGAGGGAATTATTCATTAATTTGCTGTGAGTGAGGTATGTCTGGTAAATTTTTTTTTTTCGAGGGATATTTATTCGTGTGTGACATTTGGGGCTTTGACTGTCGATCGATCGGTGGTTGTGATGGCTTCATTATTTTTTCCCTCAATTTATTCATTTAATTAATTGATAATTCGTTATTAGTTTACCCTGGGGTTGGAAAGTGCTGTCGGTATGCACTACAGGACAATCATTCATCCCTCATTGAATAAATCAACACAGGATAGATTAATCGTTGAATAATAATCCAATGAATTCAAATTAATTTGTACATATCCCCAGAAATTCAGTATTACCATCTGTTTATTCTTTATCCCCCGGTTATTTCCTTTTCCTCTATGAATTTGTGTAGATTATTCAGAAGATCTAGAATATCTAGAATAATGAACAGGTGCCATTAATTTATCTTTAGTGATTAATTACCTAAACCATACGAATCAAAATAAAAAATTAGAGTTAGAAAAATTTGTTTGATTAGTTGTAGGTATTAGTTTCATTTTTTATAATAATTTTATTTCCATTTGTCTCGATGAAACGCACAATTAATTGAGTACGTGGACCTCGGTCGATCGATTATCCAAAGCGAATGGGATATGAGATAATTAATAAATTGAAATATAAATTCGAGGGAGAGAATTTGTGGTGAAGAATAAGAGAAATTCGCTAGTAATTGAAGTTGAGATGGGGCTCTGAGGGATTGCCCATGTAGGAAGGCACGAGAAATTGTAATTTAATAATTAATACCGTAATTAGGTGGGTAATGACGAGAATTTCAATTAGCGACAACGATTGAAAATACGATGAGGGGATACGATAACGAGAGGCTTTAGTCCCTGAATTTTGGCATTTAAGCGATTGTGTGAGGATTGATAACACATTTTAATTTTGTGTTCTGTAATCAGGAAGAGAAATATCTCGTTAATAAATTAATGAGAGTAATAGAGTAATGAGCGCCGATGTTGTTAATGTTGTTGATACATGAGGAATCATTGTTGTTGATGTTTTTTTCCCTGCCAAGTATTTCTCCCCATGCAAGCTATCACCACTCATAGTAGCTGTACAATTAATTATATCGATGAAAAATTAATGAAAAACAAAAAATTACTAAGACAATGACCTTCCGAAGGGGCGTGAACTTAACCAAATAATTTATTAATTATCAATACCAAAGAAATGAAATGACGATGAGCGTTCGATAAATCGATGATTAAAATTAATAATGTCGATGGATTATTAATTTCTCTTATAATTTTTAATGATTTCACATCAATTTATATTGTTTCAGCACAAGATAAGAAAAAAATGTAAACATATCGGATTGATTGAGTTGTGCACAATGACGTGTGGCCATTTGTTTAAAAATTTAAAGTTATTAATTTTCACGTGAATTGATTGATTAAATGAGAGGGTCCACTGAATCATTCGGAAGTGTCATAAAATTGTAAATGACTGAAACTTATTTTTAATCATAACGTGCTAGTTGATAGATAATAGGTGCATTCCAGGAGATAAATGAAATAAATAAATTAAGGGAAGAGAATAATCGAGAGTTGATGGGATTGGTAATTCATTGGAAGGGCCTTGGTACGAGGAATAATACAAGGGAATACGAGAGTGATTAGCGATATCCATTAAATGACGAGAGGAGTTTGTAATCCTAGTGTGAGTGAGTGTTGCAGTTGATAGAAAAGTGAGTGAATAAATTAATAAATGGGAGGAGATTAAACGACAATGTAGCAAGCTTTGAATGCCTTCTATGTATCTAATTGTAAATACACTGAACGCGCCCTAATAATGAAAATCAAGTGAATGTTTATGATTTTTTTTTTCTTTCATTGAAATTTTTTGTCAGTGAGTTTTAACGGAGTGTGTGAATGCTGTTTACCATTTTAGTCGTTATTTTTTTTATGAATTTGTGGGGTGGGCGGGGGTGAGTGGGTGGATGGTGAGGGATGAATGGAAATCATCATCTCTGAGTTGTTTTTTTTTTCGTCGCGATTACGTTGGAACGATGGGTGCGGGGGTGGAACGAGAATTCGAGGAAATTTTTGAAGATAAAAAATCGATGGAGTTCTCGTTTCACAGCTCCAGCTCCAGAGGGCTAAATTCAGCAGTCGATGGATCTTTTGGAATAACGAGATATGGAAAATCACGAGAAAATGGGTTTCATTATTTCAATCGAAATCATTGAATCAATAAACAATTGTAAACGTTTCATGGAGTAGAGAAAAAAAATGAATCACTCGAGAGAGTTTAGAAAACATGTCACATCTGCGAACATATATTCGTGCTTGGATACTTGAAGTATATAAGTATAAAGAAAATGGAGAAAATATATACTGGAATGAACAAGAGTGATGAATTTATAGTTTTTTTGCCAGTGATATTTCAGTCCGTCGACGTAGAGGTTGACACCTCAGTCCTCATCAGGAGCTTTTGCATCTCGAATTTTCTTCGGTTCGTGTCATCCTGTCTCTGGGAGAGTCTCGTGGAGTTACGGATCTCTGAGAGTCTCTTCTCCGATATTCGTGTGAGTCTTCGGTGTAGCTCGGAGTCGGGGAGAATAAGTCGAGAGAATATTCGACGGTGGAGCTGCAGGAGTTCGCAGGTCTCGATAGCAATTATCGAGACTTCTCGATGATAATTCAGGTGGAGTAGAGATATCTCGCCGAAGTGACCGCCGTCCACCAGGTGATCCAACTAAAACAATTATTTTTTATTCCCAGAAGCTCGAGAAATGACTCAATGAAATTTTGGAAATCATTTCAAATGATCTCTTAATTTTACAACAGGTCTTGCATTCTTTATTTTACAATGAATTTTTATCCATTTCTCGATGGTAAAATAAATAAACAATACTTCTTTCCCCATGGAGTTGATAACAGCGACAGTTCCACTGGATATGAAGTACATAGAGTCCCCCTCATCCCCGAATTTATATATTACATCATTCTCAAGGTAAATAACCGGAGTCATCGAATCTGAAACCGATAGACCTCAAATAAATGCCCTGAAATACTTCCGGTCGACGATTTTACTGAGTAGATTAGCCAGAAGTGCTCTAGGTAAATTATGAAGAACAGTAGCTGTCTCCAGGAGTCCTCTATTCGACCTCACATTAATCTCCAGTCTCAAATGATTGGATAAAGTGCTCGCGATGGCGTTCTCCTTGAAGAAGCTCCCCTGGTACCTGTACTCGTAGTACTTCATCAATCTGTCACTGACAGTCTGCGACAAATTCTTCTCTTCTATGTACTCCCTAACTCGATTAATTATCGCCTGGTACTTGAGCTCGGGCTCAGCTGAGGATTCAATCAGCTGGAGAAAAACAACTGGAACGTATTTTATTAAAAATTAATTGACGATTGAATTCATTAATTTTCATTCGCTCAAAGGATTTCCATCGGATTACCGATAAGATAAATCAAATAGGCTGTCCCTGATAGCAGTAGAATGCACCTGATGAATTTATCACTCATTGAAGTTTCCATCAACTCCATGAAGTTGGAGCCAACGAGATTGCTCATCCCCATGTGCAGACCCGCCAGGTAAATTTTCCAGGAATTTCTCCCGTAGATTCCACTTTTAATCACGTAGGCATCCGATTCCTCAATAGTTCTTCTCGTTGCGTACAGAGTTACGAAGGGGAATCCCCAGGTGAGACAGGCACTCCAGTGAACGATCAGGGTTGTCAGGAGACTCAGCCAAATGGCTATATCAGCGACGGAGCTGTAGCCACAGGCGGAATTCACTTGTCTGACGTAGTGCCTCAGGGTTGACAGACGAAATATCTTCAGGAGAGGAATCATTTCAGCGATAAACTGCAGAAAATTGACGTCAGGCCCTGGAGGGTCCAGGCGACTTGAGGTGAACCAAGTGTAAGGAATCGATGTTATCAGGTCGAGGAGGAAAAATCCCCCTGTGTAATGTCTAGGTATAAATAAATAATTCCAGAATCACATTTCCATTCGATAATAAATCTGTCATTCCTTTTTCTGCACTGCATACGATTCCCCGATCTGAAATAATTAAATTCCTACCTGGCAATCATCGCGGCCTCCAGGACAACCTCAGTCCCTTCGTTCCTGGTAAAACCTGTAACGAAACTCATAAAAACGTCCAGGAGACACAGTCCCAGTGCTGCATTAACGAAATCTGGAGTTGCGCTGATCCCCTTTCCGCAGATTCTGGAGAAACTCTTGACGTAGGGTACCACGACGAAGAAGTAGATGAAGGTGAGGGTCATCAGATGATCCCAGAAGAGCCTAAACCAGCTCCAGGGGTGGATAATCCACCAATTGCTCGATCTACCGTGTCGTTTTTTTTCAGCAAAAATTGCAGCTCGACTTCGGAGATAAATTTTCGCGTAGGGGTGATGCTCATACACAATTATGAGCTTTTGAAATGCTCTCTTCAGGCGAGGGATTAGTTTTGCGTTTGGGGGAAGCCTCGGGAGGGTACTTGCAGAGGTTCTCGGGAACTGGCACTGGTGCTGGAACGACTTCGAGGATCTTCTCGATGAGCCACGACGAGAGTGAGCAGAGGGGCTCGACCAGGATAATCTCTTCATTATCCCCTTTAATTATCTATTTGTTATTAATAATTATATAATAATAACTCAATCACTTCCTCCACTGATTGATTCATTTATTTATTTCCTATTCTATTTGATTATTTAAAAAAAAAATGGGGCTCATCCTGTGGAAATCTCAATGGAATAGTTGTTTATTAGTAATTAATCAATTAATAATAATAATTAATCGTGAAGAGATCTGAGGGTTAATTAATGAGACACGACTTATCTTTAACGTACCTCAATATATTTATCTGATATTCTCATTAAACTCGTATATTAATAAATAGAAATGCCACAGAAGCGATATCCACTCGCCGCCTGAAATAGCTCCAATCACATGAGTAATTACTCTGAATTACTCAACGAGGCCACGTAATCGAATTCCAGCGTAAATAAATCGAGGAAATCATGGAACAAATGAAGTGGCACGTCTTCGATATAATCGATGAATATCACGGTTCAGACCAGTCGTTTTATTCACAGTAGGTAGAAAAACACTTGAGATATTAAAATATTTGATCATCTTCTTCATCGGGGAAAGAACCAGAGGAACCGAACGACTCAATGTCAACTCCCATAAAGGTAAAAGCAAAATTCTCTGAGGAATAACTAAAAAAACGATAAAAGAAAACCTTTAATTTGGGAATTCGGGTTTAGAAAAATTATAAAAAATCCCTTCAGAGATCATTTTCACGGTTCGTCATTTTTCATGGCATGTCTCCTGGGCTTGGGGATGGGATTGACATCGAGATCCGTGAACTCAGGTTTCTCTCGGATTGGTTCGGAAATGTGAAGTTCAATAATCTTGACGGTTTCCTGGGGCACCTCCACTGGAGGATCAGCCAGTCGTACAATTTTAATTTCCTTCATCTCCCTGGGGAGCTCTCCGATCTCAACCTTGACGTTGTCACTTTCATTTTTCGTCAAATCCTTGAAGAAGTTCCTGCGAGTTTCCTGGAGGCTCCGCCTACTGCCACCTCTCTGCAGCTGGGGAAGAGGATCTTCATCGAGGGATGAGGTAAATGATGTTGTTCTTGTTCTGTGCTTCGACGATTCCAGAAGTTTTATCTGCTTCTCGATTTTCTCGATTTCATCCTTCACGCAGAAACTGTCACTCCTGTGGAGGCTCTCTGTCCTGAAGACAACGTCGTCGTCATCGTTTGGGATCACGTCCTTGAGAATCTCCAAGGGCTCCGATGGGGTTCGAGTGAATTCCACTTCGACTTCTGTTTTTGGAGTCTCTTCTGTTGATTTTTCCATGATCTCTTGCTCCTGGGGGCTCTGCGGGGACTCCAACACCGGGAGTTTCTCCTCACTGGGGACTTCCTCAGGAAGATCCAGGCATTTGCTCCTCTCCGTCATCTCCGCGATGCCTTCGGTTACCCTGGCGATCTCTTGAGGGTCTGGAGATGTCTCTGGAGGTGCATTTTCCTGGAGGAAAAGGGAAATTATTCACGATCAACTGAGAAGTGTCAGGATTTGATTTTAATATTTCGCTCAATTACCTGGGGAACCTCAAGGACCTCTGGCCTCTTCACCGGTGGTAATGGAGCTCTTCTCTTCTTCCTCCCCGATGCGTAGACACTCCCCACTGACACACAACTGTTGATCGACAAATTCGATCTCCTCACTGCGTCGTTACTGCATCTCTTGAAGACAAAGTCTTGCATGTTCTCGTTTTCATCTGTATAATTTCCATTTCTCATCTGCACTCTCTCCTCCGGGTCCTGAGAGACTGCCAGTCTTTGGGATCCTCTCACACCTCCTCTCCTGGAATACACCGGATCAATATCTCAATTTGAAATAAATTGGTAATTAAACAAATCAATAAAATAATTAGTACTTCGGTGGAATAGGGGTTTCATCGTCCTCTCTATCATCTCTCTTGGGGCCATAATCCAACGGAGGAATTTTATCCGTTGGCTTGGGACTCACTTGTCCAAACCTGGCCGAATAAAAAATTTATATGAATTATTTACAAAGAGCTCTTTCACACTCTGTGTCATTAAATAATCAGTTTATCAGCCAGTGATTTTGATTAAGCGTTTTAAACGGGTGCTGACCTTCTGGCTGGTGCTTTTGGCGTTAGATCACCCATGATGGAGACAGTCGTCTCCTGGGGACAGCCCTCGTAAATCCTCCCAGGATCTCCGTTCATCGTCAGACTTGAACTGTACCTGGAGGAATTATCGAGGGTGTACTTTCGCCTCCTGGCGAGGGTACCGAACGCTTCATTGAACTCTTGTTCATCCCTCGAGGGTCGAGGGGGTGAAATCGGCTGGCCATTGTAACTGGCGCGTTGATACGTCGATGACACTTCGATAAAAAATGATTATTCATCAATTATGTCTCCATATCATTTTATATCTTATCTTCGTTGAAGTAAAATTAAATAATCCTCGTTTTATTAATCATAAATAATAATAATAATATATTTAGAAAATCGAGCGACTATAATTTTTTAATAAACGAAAAAATTTTGATGACTTTTTTTTTATTGAAGTCATTAAAAAAATTGTCTTTAGTTTATTTTATTTTGAAAAATTGATAAATAAATAATTCAAACCTGTGGATATTTCTGGACTTCTCTCGAATGACTCTTTCTTCTTTCCAAAGATTCCATTCCTAGGAAGGCAAATTTTTTTTGGGTTAATTTATTTATTTTCTCTTTTCTTGTACTCATGCACATCTGGGTCGATCGGGTCGACACATGTAATCTGCGAGACAGAGGACATGTAGACGATTTGCGTCACTAATCTCAATGTTTAGACGACTCGAATCGCAAAAACCATTGCTACTGCAATTCGACTTATTGTTCGATCATTTAAGAATGGCATAATCGATCGAATTAAACGACAACATGCGACTTCCTCTCAGTCACTTTTAATAATAACTTTGTATGGACAAGGCCTTGACATGATGGAATAATTTATATTGATGAATGGAAAGATTTGCGAGGGGACAATTTTTAAACAAATTCTCCAATTTTTTCCTCTGACTGAAACGACTAATTATCCAAGAAATTCTAATCAATTTCTATCGAATAAAATATCAGTCTTAAAAAAATAATTCTCTTGTGTTTCCCCGAAAATTTATTAATTTTTCACAAGAGACTGAATGTTTAAATAAATATTGATCAGAGGAAAAATTACTAGACGTGATAAATTCCAAGAGAAAAAATGTAAAATTGTTAGAAAGATAAATAGATGAAAGATTAATTATTATTGTAACGATTTTTGGTGGGAAATAAATTTTTGATAGAGAATATAAAATATTTTACCACGTGGATTTAATGGAGAAACTGTGAGATCGTTTTTTCTTGTTCCTGCCGAAGGTCCAGAATTTTTTCTTCTCATCTCGGGTAGCAGTCACCGGTAATTTCCTCACTTCCTCGTTATCATCCCTGAAGGGATTGAGATCCTCTGGATAATCGTAGATGGTGACGCTGGGTCGTCTGGACATGACTCGAGAAAACTCCCTCGACTTGACAGATGCAAATGGATATCACGTTCACTCACGATTACGTCTCATTTCGTTTCTCTCCTCTTCTCCTCATCTCCCTGTCCCACAATCCAACAAATGCACTTTAAAATTCACCATCACCATTTTTTCAATCATAAACATTCTCTCATACATTTATTCCTATTTCTATTCCTATTTCTATTCCATTTCATCCAATCTCCACATCAAAAGTTCAAATAATTATAAATATCCAATTAATCCTGAAAACTGAAAGAATTTTTCTGTCACAATAACATTAACATTATAAATTAATATTAATTAATTTAACATTATTATTAATTTTAACATTCACAATTATTTTTATTCTCATAAAACTGATGAAAAATTAATTACAATATTTATTATTCAAAACGTGATATCAACTAAAATTAATAACAATTAATTAAAAAATGAATGATAACTGAGAAATTCGCCATTAAAAAAGGATTTCTATTTTTCATTGGGAAAATATTTAATTAATAAATCTGGAGGTGGTCTGAGAGTTAGTGATAAAATTGACCCGCAACTGGAGTATTTTGTTATAAATTAAAATGGAGTGTCAATTAAAAATGCAACAGCTGTTTGCTATACCTTTTAATGGTCTCAATTAACTAGAGTACGTGGTTAATTCCCCCATTGAGAAATTGATCCAGATCAAGCGTTTTCACGTGCCATGGGGCACCGAATGACAGCTATCATCGAGCGATTGATTCGCGAGAATAAAATGGATAAAACAAATGATCAGTATGAAGTTTAATGGCCTACGAAATTGAGGGAATTATGCCAACGCCCT